TTATCCTATGATTTTCAAACTGCCTTTTACGTAACCAAAAGTTAGTCATGGGCGTTCCCTTCAGATAAAACTGGCGTTCCTTGTTGGGAAAAGAGCGTTTTCTGGTGCTTAAAAGGGCGTGGCCTAGAAATTTTTATTTTACCATATTTTAGGACCCAATACCATATTTTTGGCCTAGGGTTTCTCAGAGCCTTAATCTGGCCTTGCCCAGGGGGAGAGAGGAGTGGCTGAATTTGCCTTAAAAAACCGACATTAGTGTTCCAAGACCTTTGGCAGTGATTGTATGTGCTGTTAGAGCATGCATATAACCTTTCCTTCACACAAAAGCAAAATCACTTCGAAGATTGAAATAAGTTTCGAGTTACCTCCATATCTATCTTGTCGATATTCTTATTTTGCCTTTGGTCTACTCTGCCTGTCTATCGTGCGGGGATCTAAAAAAACAAAACCAGTCACCAAAATCAACCAGGCTTACCAATTATCTCATTTGAAACTTATTTACAGTCTTATACAATTTCTCCAGTTTTACTTTATCACGTGATAATCTGGACTAAATCACGTGACAACATTGCTCCTACAATGTGATAAAAATGATTGTTCTATGAGATTTACCTATAAATTATTCGGAAAATTGTGATCAGTTTAATCATATCATGTGATCAATTTCCAATTTATGGATAGATCAAGTTTTAGTCTTTTTTGTTGATTCGAGATCAGTATGTGTATTTACATTTCTTTCATAATTTCCATTTTACTGAAATTTTACGCAAACGTCATTGATAATTTCTAAAAATCTCCAAAATAGCTTCCTTACTATCAAAATACTGTAAGAATCCTTTCGGCCAAGAAAACTTATTACAGTTAATGATATTTTCAAAATAGGATCCGATCTGAAAAGCCACTATGAAAAACCATGTAAATGGATAGTGTTTTATTATCATATCATATCATTGTCGGCGTCTCCGCCTAGGTTCAAAAGAAAGCTAACGGCCACGTAGCTGCAGGGGGCACGGGGGGCCCCCAACTTGATATTTTGATCAAAACTTGTCCCGTCTGGCTACAGTTTTTCCAAATGTTATTTTGAAAAGTGGGCATAATTAAACTCAGCGAGATTATTGCTTTGGCCAGGGCCGGCGAAACGTATTTTAAAAGGGGAGGGGCCAAAAAGATCAAGGTATGAAAGGTTTTAGGAAAGGCCACCATGGTTGGCGGGAAGAAAATTTTTAGAAATATGATATCTAAGATATGACCAGAAACAGTATTGAAAATAGATTTTGACTAAAGGAAATTCCGAGGAAATATTTTCAAGCTTTCTTTTATCAATGTGTCGCATAATTTCGTCTATTGTAATGTTGAATGTTGATATGTAATAGGAGATTTTTTGTAAAGTTTTGGAATAACCTTTTAATTGCAGCTCGTAATCAAGCTTTTTAGATTTAAAAGGGAGCCAAAATTAAATGAAAGAGAAAATAAATGAATCAAGCTTTACCAAAACCATCAACATTGAAATATCAAAAGAATAACTGTCAACTCAAAATGAAAGATTATGCAACAAAAATTCTTCATTTCTTATATTCTTAAAAAGTTTCTTTCCAGCAATTTCAACAATTTTTTGAGAAGCTTCCCGTCAACAAATAGACCTTGGGAACGAAGTTTAGGCTCTAAAAAAAACAAGACGTCGTAATTTGGTGTAGGCAACAAAGTCTCTCTGAATCAGTTTTCTCGATCTATTCCCTTAGCGAAGCTGTTACTCGTTGTACCAATGACTTTTTTGACCAAATTCCCATTTTCAATTTTCTGTTTGTCTTCTTTGGTAAATACATAGCTACCATGCTTAATCTAAGGTCATTTTTAAAATATTACTATGTATACTTACTTACAGAATGGTAGACCAGGTTTCTTTCCACTTTGCCTAGGAACAAGGATGGAACTCAGTCAAAACAGCATCTGGAACTCGGAAATGATACCATCTAAGAGAGATGTACAAGAGTTAATTGGCTGCCTATTGTTTCTGTTCTATTGTTCCTATTGTTAAAACATTGAATTTGAAATGGCAACTGCAGATGTGTTATAGGCCCTTATACTCACGAACCTAGCAGCATTCTAGCAGATTCTTAAGCGTTTGAGATAAAACCAGGAAAAATCGTTAATTTTCCAGGAGCATTAACTACCTTTGTTTTAAATTGCAGTCTTTGATGGCAAGGGAGACCTATGCTCAGATGGGACACCATATTTCGATGAATAGGCTGGTTTCTACGGAGGCAAAATAACAAAGTGCGAGCAAAACAAAGGGGAAAAACTTTTCTGTGGCATCAAAGACAAACAAAAGGGTGTTGAGAAAAGGAGGGGGGTTGCAACAAATTTCACAGAGGCACTGTCTTCTGTCAGAAAGAAATCTTGTGTCTAGATTTAGTGAATGGTGAATACCTACCCCACCCTCCTCCCTTTAGAATCTAGATTTAGTGAGTGGTGTGTACCTACCCCTCCCTTCCCCCCTTATGGTACCAAAATGCATATATATGAGTAGTAATGTTGGTTTAGGCACAATTATCAATGCATTATCTGAAAGACCTCAGCCTTGGCCTGGAACTCAGTGAGGTTTTGTGTTGGATCCGCGCCTGAAATAATGACTTGTGTTGATATCGAAATCACATAAGGACATTGCTCCTGGCTGGCATGTCCCCAAAACCCAAAATAGCCCCTCCCCCAAGAAAATTGCTAAGGCATTGAATAACTTCATTAGCCCTCTTAATTATTTTTTATAAGCTTTAGCCCCCCCCCCCACCTTCTTCAAAAAATGTCAAATATTAAGTGGTAAACTTCTAGTAAAGCCTCTTTTATACGGTTTTAGCCCCCAACTTTTTTTAGATCCCCCACTTTTCTCAACGCTCCGCGGTGCCTGCGGTTGACTTTGAATTGAACGCTCCACGACTTCATTATACAGCTAAATCTTAAAAATATGTTCCAACCTTTAGCAGCTAAAGCGCCAGAAAAGATAAGTCACCAAGTGGATGTTTGGCAACAATTTTGATTGTTTTCATAAATTACAGTACTTTGATATGATAACCTGGAAATACTGGTATAGTACAAACTATTATGAAGTTATCTGAACAATGAAACAAGTATTTAGGTCGACTTACAAGACTTAGGGAATAACTGGTAATCTCTGCAGTAACACCTTTCAATGAAGAGCTTCGACCCCTGAGTCCCCGAGTTTCTTTCGACCAAAACATCTCTGGCCTCAGGTCAAGAGCGGCACAGACAATCAACTAAAACTAAATTGCAACGGAAAATTGAACTTCCCTGTGCATTTTAATCTTGGTCTATTCGAGAGGAAAGTGACATTCCAACATTAAAGAGATATTTCTATCTGCTTGTCAGTGCGCAAAACAAACTTTAAGTTCGCAACAGGAAAGTGGTTCCTGACTTGAGTGAACACTACAGTAATTTTGGCACGAAATGCCCACAATGCAATCTGGGTCAAGAAAATTTACACTAGGGATTAAATTCCCCAAAAGGGAACACTTGATTTTGTGGAATTCGCTAACAGTGTGTTGCACGTGTACCAAAGCACACTTTGACCACCACCAACTGCAATTATTGTCATGTATTTTGTCAATTCTTATGATCTGTTAGACTTTGCCTTTGTGGACAGGGGAGGGGTGACTATAAGCAGGAAGAATCAGTGTGTCGCTCTTTACTTCAACGAATCGACAGCGACCCTCCGCTAAAAACAGTGATGTAGGAGAGAGGGTTAAGCTGATTCCCCTTGTTAATTCAAATAAGTAACCCTTTTTACCTCTTGCCATTGTTCTTGAGAAGTTTTCTATAGGGTCCCCTAATAGCACAAAGTCCCTACCAACTTGCATGATTGATGAAATTTTGGACTAACTAAATATAATATTGCTTTCTTTTATCGTTGCCTTGCAATCAAAATACGATTATTGATCCCATTTTGAAAATACAGCATTCTGTATAACACTTTTTCACGTGAAAATATTCACAGCGCTCCAAAACAAAACTTTTTCAATTGAAATTTTTTTAATTTTTTTCAAGAAACTTTGCTATATCTAGAAAAATTAATAAAGGGGGTTTTTTCATTTCCCGTGAATCTTGACGGGGTAGTCGAGGTGGTGGAAAACTGTAACGTCGCGGTAAATTATCTTGCTCTTAAAAAAGAATGAATTTTGCTCCCTTGGGGGGGGTACTCATATATATTTAGGATAAGGGTACCAGCGCAAAAAAATAGCTTTTAGCATAGAAATTGACCCAAAAATAATTTTTCTTGTCTTGCACACCCAGAAAAATAACAAGGAATACTGCCACATGGATGATCTTGAGATCATATGCACACACATGTACTATAATTATCAAAGGAAGGTTCTATGTGCTCCATCAGTAAGAAATCAAAACCATGTGATTCGATCACGTTTATTGTGAGTTTTACATGTATCGTAATGATTCAATCACGTCCTGAAAGTTTCATATGTAGCTTGAAGAAGAATTTGTCTAATATGCATTCCATTTTGCTGGTTGGTTTAATTTCGCTGCCAACCAAAAGAATTGAGCAAATAACTTGAAAAGGGTACGAATTTTCAAAGTATTCCTACAGCTACAAATATGGACACATAGAAATCAAATATACAGAATTCTTTTTGACTCAGCCAGTTGTTAGCTTTGTGGGAGTTCCTTATATCATTCTGAATACTCTTATGATTATGAAGTTTTCATCTGCAATCAGTGAAAAATAAATCATGTTTAGTGTGTAAACCATATTTTTCTCTATTTCTTAAAATGTTCTCACATTCAAGACCCAAAAAATATTTCGGCATTTCATGAACGCAAAGAAGTAACCTGGGCACCCCTTTCCTGAATATATATGAGTACCCCAACCCCCCCTGGGATTTATCTTTAAGGCCAGAATGACAATGACAATATTGGTGTGACTAAGACAATGAATAAATCTTCAAAAAATTGTTAACTCATTGATTTGAACGCAGCTCATTGATTTGAACTCAGATTCGAACTAAATCTACAATACCTTTTAACTTCTGTACATTTTTTTTGCTATACGACTATTGCTAAAAAACCAGGGGACGATACATTGACTACACATGGTCATTTAGTAACATAAAAATATGCTACTAAATAACTAAAAAAAGTTTACAGACAGAATTGAGAAAAACAGACAGATGGGGTAAATAAGTATTAGGGATTATTGGATCCAGACCAAATATTCAAAAGATGGAAAAGCAGACTGAGGCTAAGCCTAGTTTCGAAATAGGTGAACAAAAGATCAATATGATAGCCGATACTAAGTATCTGGGAGTTCAAATCGATGACAAACTCCAATGGGATCGCCATATTGAATAAGTCAAGGCTAAGGCACTACGGGCTCTCGGTCTTATTAAGCATGCCAAGAAATTTCTTCTATCAGGGGTTTTGCAGAAAATGTATAGAGGAATTGTTGAGCCACATTTTAGTTATTGCTGCTCGGTTTGGGGTTGTTGTAGTGAAACCAAACTCAATTCTCTTCACAAAATCCAGAATAGAGCTGCAAGAATAACTACAAATAGTCCTTATGATGCTCCTCTGCTCCAAAATCTTGGCTGGCCCTCAATCAGAGATCTTATCAAAAAAGAAACAGCAACGCTGACCTATAAGGCATTGAACTCTCTTGCTCCTCAATATCTAGGAGAACTTTTCAGCAAATGCTCAGAGGGCAGTGTTCGCAATTTTCGCCTAACTGAAACAAACTTGCAGATACCTCTTTCAAGAACATGCACAGGCCAAAAAGTATTTTCATATCGCGGAGCAAAATTATGGAATGAGCTGAATAAGGAAACTAAATTGGCATCGTCCCTTGCTACCTTTAAAAAATACATATGAGAGGTACATTTTATTTCTACATTTAGTTCTGTGTTGCTTATTTTGATTTTAACTTTTTGTACATTGTAATTTTCTTTAATTTAGGCTTTTCTGTTTTTGCACAGGTCGATTTGTAAAACAGTTATTTTTTTTATTACTGAAATCTGTAAATCTGTATAAATATTCAAAAATGAAATAAAAATGAATGAAAAGAACAGGCTGTCCCAGGTTTTCTGATTACGTATTCCTGATTTCAAACTGGTGTTACATTATCAAGGAACATGCTCCCTCAACAATTTTCAACAGAATACCTTGTAAATGATGGATTGCTAAGCATTTTCTTGCTAACCCCCCCCAGTCTATAGAAAAGGCGCAGGCCATGAACCAAAGTTGGAATTACTTTCTCCGGATCAATAACATCGAAGAACAGCATTTTACAATTAAAACCAGTCTTTTATCGTTATAACTAGCACACTATTTAATTTTCCTACTGCAATATATTCATAGATTTTTCCCTTTTTGTTTTAGCTACTTTTACTTTTAGTAAGCCCTACTGTAAAAATTAACTAACATGTCGCTAATTATTGTAGATTATTATCATTACTATTATTGTTATTATCATTATTTTTATCACATCGAACTTTTTTTGGTGGCGAAAATTTTCAAAACCAAAAACTTTTTCTGGCGGGCACATCTCGGTAATTTTTCTTAAGGGTACAACGGGGGGAGGGGGTTGAGAGAGAAATACTTTCATACCAAACTCAATGTGAATTGCTGTATAATTGAATTTTATCTTTCCTTCAAATATTTCAAGATAAGATTTGCAAATTTCATTATTTACATTGGAGAGTCTTTAAAGACAGCTCAGAAAATTTTAGCATGTTAGGATATAATTTACTTTGTTGTTAATTTCATATTTTAAAATAAGGAAAAATGTTCACCATTGATAAGTTTTAGGGATACTGAAAAATTCTATGACCTTTCCATTATGGAAATTTTGATGTTCTTTAGATTGGATACTGCTCTTGTTTTCATTAATGGTAGAAGCAAAGCAACAAAACATAATGAATATGTTAACAGGAATATAAAAAAAGCAACAGAACCACACCAACCAAACATATTTGATTCACAGTTCATAAAAAAGCCCTGATGTCTGTTATTGCTATATGGTAATCTAATCAGTTATGAGGAGAAAACTTAAAAAACTATGATTTATATCATTAAAAAATTAACATCTACAAATAATCTGATTACTGATCCTGGCAGAGCAAATCTGACAGCACATTCAAAGGTATTAGCAGGCATGTGACTGACACTCCAATGTTAGACAATTTTTTGGGATCAAAGCAGGGACCAAAGCAGATAAATGCTGGGAGAGGGTGTTGGAGGTGTCACACCACTTACTCTTTGAAATTCTTTGAACCAGTTTGAAATTTGAGAGCAATCAGAAATTTTAAGCCATAATTTCAATGCTGATTTGTACATCAGAGAATGATTTATAATATTGCTAATGCTGAGAATTTTCTCAATTCAGAAAGGAAATGACTGAACCTTTTAAGGTTCTGTAAGGTTCTGTCAATCAGAAATTTGTATCCTTCATACTCCCAAAAATATCCATCAATTTATGTCCCTACAGAGAACCACAAAACCCAACACTTCCCCAGGAATGAAAATTGATGGATGATTTTGAGACAGTGGAGAATTTTAAAATTAGGAGGGTAATAAAATTGTTATATGTCATTACTTACAGAATTTTGATATTACATTGTTGTGTCAATTCATTTTTCCCATTCTCTCAAATCTCAGACTAACTTAAAGATTTTCAAAGATTGAGGGTGTTACACCCCCAAAACACCTTGGTATTTACGCCCCTGCACTTTCATGAGCCAATCAGTCAATTATAGCAGAATCAGGTTCCTTGAATTTGATTTTCTAACTACCATTTCTGACAAGTCTTGCGATGACAAGCAGTATGGCATGAGCAAAAACTGTGATGGCAATATGTCTATAATTTTTGCTATGCAAAAGTAAAGTGCATATTTTTTCTATATTTTTATTTTTGCTACAAATTAGTATATATTTTTTTATCATGATTTGTTAATATGGAAACTTGTGCGTAGTTTCAAGTTGAACAATGTTCTTAACAATCTTAATTGAAGCTATTAAATCACATTAAACTCATCAGTACATTATCCAAGGTATACTCTTGAAGAAGACTGAATATTGGCTCTGCAAAGAGGACATTGAGTCATACCAACAGAACAGTTATGACAAGTGCACAAATGGCCACATGGATGGAAAGCAATACCTACTTGCTCATCCATGCATATTTTGCATAGCTGCATCTCTCTCATTTTGTCCAGCTCTCTTTTGAGATCACTTTGAGGCCCAGATTGTTTATCCTCTAAATTAGCTTGTTTCTTTCTTAAATCTTGAGGACCTTCCCCAGAGTCTTCCCTTTTCTCAGACAAGCAATGTTCATCAAGATTCCCATGCTCTAAAACAAACAAAACGGCATCTGCTGTTGCCTCCAAATTATCAAAATACTTCCCATACTTATCAAGTGCAAGGGATTGAGTCTTGTTAATCATTTCAACAGTAAAACCAGCTTCTAGAAGTTTATCAAAGTCAACTATGGATAAAGGGCCAACTTGCTCTACCTCATTACTCTCTTCAGCATTTGTCTCAGGCACACCAGTGGGGTAAAATGCTGGCTCACTTTGATTTGCATCTCTATTACCAGGGAGAGCAAATGAAATATCAGGATTCCCAAGTCTACCAAAAGGATCCATACTCGTCATCAATGTTGGGGGTTGAATAATATTCATGCTGTTTGCAGGTGGTAGAAAAAATGGTGATATCTGAGTTGGCAATGATGTTGGATCGTTCTGCCTTTGTATCTCTGCGTTTCCATGGAAAAAATCACTTGTCCTATCTATTTCTCTTCTTTGTTGTATTCTTGGGTCATGATTTGTTGTTTGTCTTTGAGATATTTGGTTTGTATTTTGGTTCATATGTTCTATCACTAATGGACACTGTGGAGACCACTTTCTATGCTCTCCCCATGCTGTATCACCTTGCACCCATGATTTTAAAGCAATACCACACTTGAAACATTTTACACCATCATCTACTCCAGTAAAGTAAAACCCTGCCTCAGAAAGCTCAAGGGGTTGAATAGGAGAATTCTGGGGCCATGTGAAAAATGTACTCAGTCTGACATACTTTGACTTCAAATCAGATGACTTATGTGATGCTTTGGAGCCAAAAGAATTCTGTCTTTGGACAAGGCCACCACTAGAATACTCCCTGAACATCATTTCATCATCTGAAGTATTACTCTTAACAGAGTCTTGATGTTGTAAAAAATGATGCCTTGGTCCATATAATGGGCTGCTTGTTGAGCTTATAGGACTACCTGGACTGTTCTGAATTGCATTGTTATCTGGCTGCCCTGAAGGAAGTAGAAAATTTCCAGGTGAAACATTGGTAGGCATAATTGATTGCAATGATCCAGTAACTACAGAGCTGGTAGACAAATGTCTAGAAGTGTCAGGAGCCTCTGATCGAAAATATGTTTTTACTGATGGAGTCTCCACTACTATAGACTGTCCATTGTTTCTACCAGGCATTTTTAATCTCAAACAATTTTCAGATGAAGAATTGACTTGCTTGCACTCCTGGTCATCAATAAACTGACTAACAGTGCATGTCCTACTATTTCCCTCATCATGCCCACCTCTTGTCCTATCTGGCAGTGAATTACGTGTGTCAGGTACTAACGTCTCAGCTTTAGAATTCTCGTGGTGACGATGATACAAGGCTTGGTCCTCAATTACAAGGGAAATGAATTTGCACGTTGGAGATGCCTCTGCATGTAGTAGGACTGGGTCACTGCTTTCAACCATTTCAGCAATATCAAACTGGCTATGGCAATGGTAGCATTCAAAACATTTACCAGTTTCATTGAAAAAAAAACCAGCATCACTTATTCTTTTAGCCTGAGCAGTTGAAATTGACGGTTGGTATTTGTTGATAGAAATTAAACGATTCTCACAAGCTGAAAATCCAACTTGGGCATACACTTCAGAATAATCGTCTGAGTCGTTTAAGCTTTCATTTGGCGGTGACAATACTGCACAATCTTTTGGAGATGTTTCGTCAACAGAACAGGTCCTAGGGCTAGGGTCAGTAACTAGTTGGTTACCGTTGTCATTAAAGCTGCTTCCTTTAACTTTCTCGTGTTTCTCTTTTCTTTCGATTAAATATTGGCATTGTTCACTTCTTTGCGAATGCAAGACTAATGGTTGTTCATTCTCTTTCCAATTTCCTATTTCTATTCCGCACAAGAAGCAAGAAACAACATCATTTCGTCCTGTATAGTAAAAGCCAGCCTCAACAAGATCCTTTATGATCATAGGGCCGTCTGAAGGCCAGGTTGTGAAAGTTCTCAGCCTATCTTCGTATTTTTCGTAGTCTAGATACTCCTCCATCTTTCGAGCTAAATTCCGAAAATGGGCATTATAAAGCAACCCCACAAAGTCTAGGCAATTACTTTCGAAATGTATATCGTCCTTCTTTTCTTTCGAGTAACGACTCTAACGACTCAGGACTTTCCCGTTTTCGTCTGACAGGAACTGCCAGCCTCTTTCAGGGACACGCACCTCAACGATTTTCACTGGGTTATATCATCATAATCATCATAATGTAAATTCGGTGGTCCGTATTTTATGAATTTCCGCTGAATCTATATCGTTAAAATCTTCTGCAGAATAACGCCCCATAAACAAGAATCGATTAAAAAAGATACACAACTGAGGGACAGGGATTTATCCCAACTATTCCTATGTAAAACTGAGCTATTTTCTTCAAAATTTTCGACGCTGGGTTGATTAAACAATCATTTTTCTGAATTGCGTGCTCACAACAATTTTTTCCTTATTCGAATGACAGACTTTTCTTTTCATAGTAATCTTTTTGGAATTCCGAATTTTGATGATTCAAAAGAATCTTTCCGAAAGTTTGAAATATTTGACGTTGACTGTACCGTATTAACTCTCTAACATCCTGGAGGACACTTAATTAACAAAAAATTTAGGGGTCCGTCCCGAGATTGGCTCTAACTTAAAAGGGAGCAGAATCCTATTGAAAGATTCGTTGCAGAAAAGGTTATGGTAGGGTACGAGCCCCCGCTCCAACAGCATTGTAAAAGTATATCGCTTTACACATAACAAGGTAATAGAAAAAAGGATTTATGACCAAAGATGTTTCAAGTATTAGTGTGTGCTAGTCTCACTGTTCTGTACCACTTTATTGCATGTTTTTATTGACTAGAATTCAATGTAAAGCGAGTTTGTTATAATTCTCTATCATATAAGTTTAATGGTTCAGGTTTGAAGCTGAGAATTAGAAAAAAATTACTAAAGGAAAGGAAAAACCATTCATTCAAGCGACTTGAAAATCCACTGCATTTGCAAGCACTCCAAACCATTCTATCCCTTTAAAAAAACCGAAACATTTGATGGCAAAAGCGGAGTAGCTGCTGTCAAATAACTTCCTGCTGGCGATGGTGGGAAATGATAGCAAAGAAATGTCAATAACAGCAAAGCGGAATGTACCGAAACTCTTCATGCGTCATGACCTACGTAGACTGAACGATGGCACAGAATAGAGATGACCAGAAGGTCATTCTGTCCAATCGATACAGTGCGAGTCATCTCTAATCTGTGACGATAGTGAGCAAAATGGTTCACTTCCAACAACGCCTGCCTAACGCAATTATTTTGGGCTTTAGGAACAGAATTGGCCCGGTGCATTGGCTCGGTGCTCGCAATCAGCCAGTCTGCTTCTGATTCAAATAGCGCCTTTCGTTTGAGGAAGACAGCTCACGATTTAATGGTACCGGATACGGTTTTAAAACGGCCATAGACTAGGAAATTTCTCATTCTTCCGCGGGATGTGACCCAAAACCTGCAAAACTTTCTTAAAAAACACGCGAGAAAGGCTACATTTTGGTTTGATAGAAGAGACTATTTTGTTCTTTTTTATGATCTTGATCACAGTTATAGGCCATTCAAGTTTTAACTCTTCCAACGTGCTCACCATACATTCTTCCAACCCAGTACAAAAAATGGTGGCATATATTTTCGGTGAAGCAGGGCAACCAGATAATATTTTAATTTACCAAAGTGGAAACATGCACAGGTAACAGACAAATTGCGTACTACGAACTTACGAAACAGGATCTGCTTAACATTTATAAGAATGTCGAAAATACAAAATGGCCTCTACTGCCTTAAAAGGCTAGCCACATAACGAAATCCTATCTGTAATTTAAGCCTTTAACAAAGTCGCTTCGTATTCACGTCAAGTTTGATAAGAAAGTAGCAAGTAAGAAAACTATACAACTGAAAATGGATTGTTGATATTTTGAAATAACACGACTATGATTCGACTAAATATGTAGAGATATTAACAAAACCTTCGTGAAAGTCAACATATGCAAGGGGTTACAAAATAGGGAATACACGTCTTTCAACTAACCGGACACGGTAGACCAAAAAGTTTCCCCATGTTTTAGCATCAGCCAACAAACACAAAACATTTACAAGGATTGATCGATAGAAAGTGTGCTCAGGTAATTAGCATTAATATAAAATACGTTCAAAAATACTTCTAGTTATGAAGATACCAAGGCATTTTATCTAACAATAGGAGACGATTTATTACGAACATCATGTTTGTTCTCGAGACAAAATGCTTTAATCAGTAGAACTGCCAAAATTTAATAATTTGGACGAAAATTCCCAAAATGTGAAAAGTTTTAGGGCAGCTTTCTAGAAAGTACAAAAATTTTCATCCGTATGAAAGAATTGGATATGTACATAAAAGTGGGTGAAGCAAGGGAAATTTGCTATTTGAATTACATCACAAGCAAGAATAAAAAGATAACTACATAAAATATCGACTAAACAAAACAGTGTCCGGTGAGCCGACAATAGTGTCCAATGCGGATATAAAAGATCTCACCAACTAGCAGGCATACAGATAGTAAGGGCTCGGCGTCTAATAACTGCTTTAAAGCCGCATGGAGCCAGCATGAGTGACGTCAAACTGTTCTCGATTACAATGATGATAATGGTTTCATAATAGCAGTTAGAAGGAGTCACATAGTACAATGCGTTTACAATTTCCTAGCAAACGAAACTCTAAAAACTAATTTGTAAGTTAAAATGATTTATGGAGGTTAAATGTGCCAATACAGCGCCAAGCTGCCAAGCTAGTTACGGTCAACTATAAAAGCTTGTGAATTAGAAATTGTTCTTTCAAAAAACCTAACTACAACATTTATCAATTATTGATTGCATAACCTCGTTCGGGCTGATAGGTGACGCTTTTTATATCGTAACGAGGTGGCTCATCAGAACCACTAGCAATGTCCATAGCCTCTGCATCGCTAGAGGAGCCATTGATTGGGTTCGATGCAGCGCCAGTTGGTGAACGAGGCAGCGATGAGTTGTAGCTAACGCTCAAGACGCTTCGATCCCTTTCTCCGGCAGGCTGTGGAAAGAAATGTAAAATTAAGATGCCAAATAAAAAAAAACCCTTCCAATATAAAATAACATACGGCAACGAAGCCCGTGAATCTTTTGAATCCTCTGAATCCCTTCTCTTTTACTCTCTTATGCGGGGATACATAAAACATATATAACATAAAATATTCGCCTTGTTATAATTGTTACGGAGCTAACTGGGCGAGGCCGGCATCAGGAGCCCATTGTTTTCTCTCTCTCTTTTCTCTCTTCCAAACATTATTCTCTTTGTTGTGACGTACCAATCAAAGTTGTGACGAACCAATCAAATTTTTTTGGGAATTCGCTTAGCTTGTCATATAAGGGCCAGTTTATACAAATTGGATTCAATACGTGAAAGTTACTTTCACAGCTCTGTTAATAAGTCTAGTTGAGCCGGACGTTAGAATTCAGGACACTTCTGATCACTGGGGACTTTGGTAAAAAGTCGCCCCCCCCCTGTAGCAAAAGTCCACCCCAATAACAACACCAAAACCATTTAACACATGATATGAAGTTGTCTTTCCTATTACCTGTTCGAGGAGCTGTCTCAGTCTCTGCAGCTGAGCCTCTAATTGTTTGTTGTGATCTTCGAGGATTTGCATTCGCGCTTCTAACCTGCCCTTGTGCTGCCTAAGCGTCCTTGCCTCAGACTGGAGTTCAGCATCTCGACCCGATTCATTTGACCCGTTGCTGCCGTTTGTTCCATTCATATCCTGGGCACGAACAATCTTTAGTCGCTCGTATTCATCTTGCAATGCCCTGGAAGAAGGCAACTACTTTTCAAACCAGTTGAATAAAATAGACGTGCGGTTTTTAATAAAAAAATTGAAGATAAAAAGCTAAATAACTGGGTAAGGTATAAACCTCAGATCTTTCACACCCCTTACGATGTCTAATAGAAAACAAGCAAGAAGATATTTTGAATCAGGTCTGAGCTTGAATCGACTTCTTGCTTATTTGAATCGACTTCTTGTGGTAGGCTATCAAATCTTGGGGGTATTGTTAAGAAAAAAGAGGAACAGTTCGTGACTCATAGTAACCAGAGCTTTACAATGAAGCTTACAGACTTTGAATACGATAAAAATGCTCAGAAATTCTTATATTCAAACGAAAGCGGTTTGTACAAAAAATTTGACACAGAGCTTTCAACAAAATATGAAGTAAAAACGTACTTGTGTTCCTCCTCTAATTCTTTAATTGTACAATCCAAGTCATCCTTTTGATCTCGCTCGAGGGTGGCTAAAATCTGGGCTGGGCTTTTTGGCTGCAAGAAACGCAATATTAACATAAGTTGCTATGAAGTTAAACATACAACTACTGCTAATGTTTTTCAGTAGACAAAGAGTTTCCTTTGCCTCCAGACTAAAATCAAGAACATTAAGATTTGCTTAAATGTTGATGAGGTACACAACCATTTAGCAACTGATTAGATAGGAGAAAGAAATGATGAGAAATATATTTGTAAAATTCATTAGGCCCGTTCAAACGTCAACGGAACGGAAATCAACCGATGAAAAGACGTTAGTGATATTGTTTAGACATAGAAATAACAGCTGATTATGCTAAGCGAAAACCATTCGAAAAATATCGTGAAATTAACCCTGGATACAATGATAATAATCATTTGTCAATGCATTTACAATTTCCTAGTACTCTAGGTTTTAAAACCAATTATTAAAAAACTTTCAACTCTTCAGATGACAGTATATTATGACGTAACAACCCAGGATCATATCTAAGCAGATCTAAACGCGGCTTTTTAAGGCAGATATATGATAGGAAGACTTACAGACAGCGAGCTCTCCGAATTCAAGGTGCTACAAAGCTGTTGAATTAGGCGATGTTCATCATCCCTGTTAAACAGAAAAGAGATGCCAAATAATCAATTATTACATACAAAACGACTTTTCAAGGACAACAAAGGTACAACAAAGCTGCTTAAAACTGAAGCGACTGGGTTTCAATATTTCTACACAACGATCAGCCCTCCACTAGATTAGGTATAATGACAATATGGAAACGCCTTTGATGTAATACTATGGGACAGCCCTGAAAATTATTATAGCAGGTTACAAAACAGAATTGAATATTGCAGGAATCTTTCAGAGAAAGTAGGATTCTCTCATTGACTACCTCTTCAAGTCCTGTCCGGAAAAATCATGATTTTGATTCAACTACAGCTTACATGTTTTATGAAAGGCTGGTTTTTCTTTCAATGTCAACTTAAATTCACTAGAAGCATTCCACCATAATTTATAAATCAGGTTGAAAGATTAATAAAATCTGCATACATGTGAGTCTTTCTGCCTTTTGGACGACCATCTGTTTCATTTCTGAAACTAAGAAAAATGCAGCTAACAGACAAATGCAATCAACCGTACAAAATGGAGGGGGCCACCAATAGTCATATTGAGAAATGAAGAAAGAAGAGTTGAAGAAGAAAGACGAAAATAAGAGGAAGATAATGAGAAGAAAAGAAAGAAGAAAAGGAAGAGGAAAAGAAAGAGGAAAAGAAAGAAAAATGAAGAAGAAAAAAGAAGATAGGAATAAGAAAAGAAAGGATAAAAAAGAAAGGAGATGAAATGAAAGAAAACGAGCGGAAGAGCAGTGGAAGAAATGAAAAACAAATGAAGGAGAAATGAAGAAGAAACGGAGACCTACACATATTGAATAGCATGGTTACGCAACATAAATCTTATTATTATTATTTTTTTTTCATTCCTCGTGACAATGAAGAATGTTTGGGTACCTCTTGAATGAAAAATTGAGAAAAAAGCATAACAATCTAAGCACAAATTCTTTAGCTGGAGATAAACAGTTGCAAAACGAAAACAAAGTTCTTATGAAACTGAAAGGAGATATTAAAAACATACAACAAGAATAAAAAACCAACCTGTTTGTAGAGTATTCACTCATGTCTGGTGAAGATGGCGTAGAAGGTCTAAAAGAACAAGGAGCATTCAATAATGCGACAAAATGAAACACGTTATACCTATGTTGATTGCTTCCAAGTGGACACTGAACCGTATTCTATGGCAAATGCTCCTAAATGTCATCCAAGTATCTTGACAAGCAATTTAGTCTTTTAACAAGCGATTATGCATACCTTAGGCAGCCAACGCTTAGAGCACGAAAACTTGAAAATATGTTGATAAGACTCTTCTTTCTTGGCAGCGTGTTCATAACGAAGAATGGTTTATTTCCTGGTATTTATGCCTTAAATATTAATCCCTGTGATATCCAGTGCTAGTTAATCTGCAGTTGATGAAGAATTTTTCTTGTATATGAAAGATTCAGGCGAAATCGCAAATTGAACGCCACTGATAATGTTCACTCGAGTGCTTTTCTCTATTAAATTAGCATTCACGTCTGTTTGATAACGGCTATCGCGAGTAACGGGTGCGTATACACACACATATAGATCAGCAGTCATTTTTCATTCAAATAATTACAACCAAGGATGGCATATAACGTAATTCAAACATCGTGGGCACGGGGGTTAAGCCTTATGAACGGGCTGGTGCCGAGCTAAGGGATAAAAACTGTCTTTGTGAAACATCGAAGTGATAAAGAGCTTTTCATGGGTAAAATGGGAGCTGGGATCCATGTTGGTGCAGATACTTCAGTTCAGTGATAATCTAAATACAATTTAATAATGCTTTAGACAAAAACATAACCATATACAATCTATGATGTTCATCAAAAGCAATAGGAAGGCGCCAGAGTAGGTGAAAGTTTTTATCTAACGCAAAGGATTCAGTTCCATCAGCATTTGACAGGTTTTTAAAAATTTCAATTCATTCTTATTCAAATTCAAAACTTTATTTACAAATTTAGTTAGTTCTTACAGCTTATGAGCATAACAGTAACAAATTAAATAGGGAATTTAAGCATTTAAGTCTTTCTGTAAAATAATAATATTTGAAAATGTCAAGTCTTTAATACCCGCTGATTCCAACTGACGCTTATAGACAATCAAAATATTAGGGCAATTGTTTTTTGCTCTCTAATTTGACGAATACAGCTTATAGGTCACTTGAAAGTTTGACTTAGAAATAAGGAGAGGGCAAAAACAGACCCCCCCCCCCCGGAAATACCTAGATTACTGCGAAGCAGATGTGAAATACCAAACAAAAACAGAGGTAGTTTATTAATTAAATGTCATATCTCCTATTTTAATGTCTAAACAAAAGTTTCGATCAGGCTAAGAAATGAATTGTTCGAAAAACAAACAAATTAGAACGCCGAGAGGACAGGTGCGCAAGTTCTACTGCAAAAAGGCTGACGACAGGATGCTTTGAAGAGCTCGAACTAAAGAAAATTCTGGCCATGAGAACTGTGTCATTCAAGAGTGTGTCGTGTTATTTTGCGGAGTAAACTGATATAAAATTGCTACTAATTCTCAAAGGCACTCTAGTTGGACGGGACTCAAATGATTGATTGTTGCTTAACTTAAATAAGGAAAATAAGTTGTTTTCTTACTAACTTCTATGAAATATCACCCGAATGCGATAATCCTATCTATATAGAACACCTGTTTGGATAAGGTAAAAATGTAACTGGATGGACGTAAGGAACCAAAGAGCATTTCACGCCCTCGAAACCCCACATACAAGTTAAGAGCCGGAAGTTAAATCGTTGAGTTTTCACGAAACCTCTTGCCTTTTCATTCAGATGATTATTGTTCAGCGTGCAAATCTTGTCGACTTTTGGGTAGGATAGAAGTTGATACGAATAACCACTAAAGCAAGGAGGGGCAGTCCAGGTGAAAAGTGCAACATAGGAATTCAGAGGGCTGAACAACAAGGGTAAAGAGACGTCTGCATATCAGGTAGAAAGACATTTGGCAGCCAACAATACAGTAGAAACACATATAAGAACCTACATTGTGTGAGTCAAGTCTCGGCAAGATCTTAGTCAATGAGTATCTTTTTATTAAATTATAGTTTAGGCTTTATAAAATCATTGCTCCAATTGTTCTTTAAAGATGTACTTTATGTTATCATTTTGGAACTTGAAGCTTTATTTACAAATTGTCCTAACTTTTCTGTTCATTTTGCTGCACTACTGATATTTAAAATAAAGAAGCCTTATTGGTTTTGATATCAGTAGGTTTTTATATTCGGGTTATTACTATGCATGCGCCGACAGCTGGAAGCTTTAAAGAAATTAAGAAACAAGGTTCCAGAAAGCAACTGTTGCATTCATATTAAACTAAATTTTTTATTTGACTGAATATTTTTGAAAAAGTTTTGATGACTTTGCCGGTTTTTCTTCAAAGAACTCTTTGTTATTACGTTGAAACAAAAAAATAAAATGAGATAATTCTTACGTTTCGATATTTCCTCCTTCGAAAACCGTCTGGACTGGCAAGTAACCGAGTTTTCGTGGTGGCCTGTTTCTGTAGCGCCTCGATTTGAATTTGTTTCTAAGAAGTCGCACAAAGTCAGCCATATCTTCGCCTGTCGTGGTCTGGAAAGGATATAAGTAATGACAGGCTGGTCAGGAAGGAATTGTTGATTTACGTGAATGCATAGATACAAATAAACAACAAACAATCACATTTTTCTTTAAGCTTTCTTGTGTTAATCCTCTAAATCAAGATTAACGTAAATTATGATATGGTGAAAACCAGCGATTCGGCAGCATGAAAAAGAAATTTATCAATCATAGAAAAGTAAATTTCGTTTTCAATTGAAAGTGAAGGGGAGTAACGAAATTCCAAGGTACCATAGAAAATCAGCCGGATGTTACAATGAAAAGACAGGCAAAAGAATACGGGGCAAACAAAACAAAAGATTAAGCGGATCTTCATAATTGCAAAAACTGGCCTTTTCTATAATTTCCGTGAGCAAGACAATTATTCTTTGAAAATAAACACAAAACTGTTTATTGTAAGATTCCAGAAAACGATCGATATGCTGTATATTAAGAATTCTTAAAGGATTTTTCTGCATCTGTTATCTTACAAAAACCAAGATGAAAATCTGTTGCATTCAAACTTACCGCTAAACTATACTGATGCATTGGATGTGTAATACGATGTGATTTTGAGATTCGACCAGACCAGAAGCAACTCTGGAAACGAAACAATAAATCATTCACTATTGCTAAACTAGTGCTGCAAAAATCAATTTTATTTTTATTGGAATACGAAGCACGAACAATTGTTGGCTGAAAACAACAAACAACCTATAGGTTTGGGTTTAGAACTTCACGGCGTGCCAACTTGTGCAAAACTAAATTCTGTTTTCACCTTAACTTTATCATTTGCTTAACAGATAAAAATAAGAGCATCGAGTGCTCAACTTTGAAACAATTTTGACAGGCATATCCTCATTTTCAGAGATTGAGTTACCACCGCTCAATACCAAAGGATATTTTGTAAACATGGTTCCAGGGTCAAAGGCCTTGGAAGCGTGTCTAGTACCCCTACGGATACGCAAAACTACCACAGAAATGAAACCAGTGTTTTTGTGATATCAAACAACAAGCAGGGTAGATTTAATAGGCTTTTTAAGCTAAAATAGGCTAAATTTTTAAGAGCTTGTTGAAGCTGATGAAATACAAACCTGGCACATGTCGTAGTTGAAACATTTCAGACAGCGGTATCTGAACCCTACAATTGGGTATTCCTTGCAAATATTGCACTTGGCTTCATGTTTCGCTGCAAACAAACAAAACGTAAGTACAAAGTTCGACCTCACTTCGCTTTGAAAAAATTACTATGAGGGCAGCATTCTGACGTCATCTTCAAAGCTAAATTAATGAAAATATGTGGGCAATGAAGATGACAATATCAAGATATAAGGGGTGAATGGACAGAAAAAATATAAAGCAGAGATATACTGGTTCGCAAATATATTTAACTAAATGAGTAAAAACTCAAAAATTCTAGCTATTCGTAGAAGCATTCATAAAAGTTACCTGTTTCTGCGGCGGCCAATCGGTGAAGAACTGGCATCCATACGACCGACTGTGGCTCGTGGGAGACCCAACCAAGAAAGTTGGTGATATCAATATGTGTTGCTGATTTTGCCTTTAAAGTCAATAAGTGAAGAAATTCAAATTGCGAAGTTTTGATCTAGGATCATACGGGGTAAGGTAAATTAAGAAAAAAACTGAACATAAATGGACTGACGATAGGATAAACATAGAATACTGACATTGAAATGAAAATTTACCATTTCAAAACAGCTTCTGACACTTGGTTCGATATTGCTGCCGCCAAAGGCTGCAATTTCTCCAAGTTGTCTGGGGATCTAGAAAAGATGGAAGAAATTATATTCAACACCACAATACTATTTAATACCCAAGGTTTGACATTTGTTTAAGGCCTAACTGATAAAAAATTTGAATTGGAACATGAATTTTTTGACATAGGACACCCAATATTCTTCTAGACGCATGGAGCTAAAACAGGCCACAATTCATCTTTTAAAATGTTATCCGAATTTATTTTTAGCACAGAAATTCATGTTGCAGAAACATAAGCACATAATTTGCCAAACAACTCTAATCTTCATTTAATTTCTAGCAAACAAATCGATATCTTTCTCAATGCTTTAGTCTCTATGAGATCATCGATCATGATATGAAGAGTTTCCAGGTGACAGTTGAATGGCTGTACCTCAATAATTAGAAATTCTAGACTCAAAATAGATTTTGATTAGTTGATAATATCTTCGGAAATAATAAGCTACACGACGAAACAGCTGCCTATATGCTATCTGCTACCGATAGGCATCAATATAGAAGCAGACAACTACAATGAAAACGAGTCGTAACCGACGAAGCTACGGCTGATTCATTTGTTTACAAAGTTTACTGGCAATTCTAGCCATCGATTGCATTATAGACGAGGACAATATTGACCCTATTCAAACCTCAACCAGGCATTTTTACCGACAAAGTGGAGATTCTGCGGACCATCTCATGTAGAATTAGGTGTTTGACACTTTCATCCCCTTGTCAGATGAGAACGACTAACCACGTCTTTTGTAAGGTAGTATTTTGTTGCTGTTACTTTCTTGACTTCAATGCAATACTCATAACAGCCTAGAGAAAACTTCTTATTCACAAAGCAATGAAAAGACAAACCTGGACACAGTCGTGTAAAAGAAGGCCAAGTCTCTTCTGGTCAAGATGACCCTGCTTATTGGCAACTAACATGAACAGGTCTGGCAGAAAAAAATATGAAAAATTAACAGTGTGTTTCTAACTTTACATCAATTAACCAAGTGTATAACAATGGAGTCAGCTTAACCAAGTGGACGTAAGGATTTTTTTAAATCGAGAAAGCATAATGTGAATATACTGCTGTAATAGTCAAAGGTATTGCATGACTAAGCTACAAAGACAACAGGAACATGATATTCAAGATAAAATATTCTGGCTAACAAGATAGTACAGCTGAAATCGGTATTTTCATTTTTAAGAATTAATGTACTTAGGCATAAAAGTTAATTATAAGATTTGCTTACATTTCCACTTCTCCTCAAGAGAGCCTTTACAGAGTAAGATCAATCCAGTCTTCAGAGACAAAGTTCTCAGCTTTCCATATCTGACACTGTGATAATAAAAGCAAAATTTTATTATAATAAGAAAGCAGTCAAGGGGCGTGAGAAAAAAGGAGCAATTGGGCAAGTAATCCAAAGAAAGGAGAAGAAAGCAGAAGATAGCAAAAGGAAGTAGAAGGAAGAAAAAGAAAGCAAAAAAGGAAAAGACTGAATTCGAAAACAAAACGAAGAACGCAAAAAAAATCAAAATAAAGGAGGAAAAGGAGAGAAAGAGGGAAGTCAGTAATGAAAATGGGAAGAAATAGGAAGAAAATGAATATGAAAAATCCAGAAATTTTAAAGGAAAAAGAAATAAAGGTAATGGGTTTCTGGACAGATAAACTTGTAACTTCGCAGGTGGATATCAATACAAATTATTGACTACATATAAAAATTGTTTAAAAAGAGAGGAACATGTTAAGGACAAGATCACGAATCAAAAGTACATAATACCAAGTATACGCCATGTGTGTAGAATAGCTCCTTATCGCAACATTCTAAGCTCCTTATCGCAACATTAAGTAACATCTTAATAACGACTAACTTTTCAGCGCTGAAAATAGACGATAAAAAAAACTGGATCACACTTAAGAGTGAGGTGATACCTGTCAAAGACATTCAGAAGCCAGTTGAGAACCAAGTCGACACACTGAGCAATGTTGATACTCTCTTTGTGTTCAGCCCTTTCGAATGCAGCAACCACAACATTTATAATCTGGAGCACATCAACCAAGGCATCGATGTCGCCCAGGGCAGACCTCGCCTCTTGAATATCAAAGGCGTGCTTCATGGCCTCCATGGTTACCAAGTCCACTGTGGATAGAAATAACACAGGCTAGTAAGCATCATTGGAATACGAAAACTACGTGATGAAAAGGATGGTGATGGTTATGATGATTATTATGGAGGTTGCGAAGATCAAAGTGAAGAGGATGTTAGTTTCGTAGGTCTGAAATAACGAGGGTATTTGTTATTTCCATTGAAACCTCATGAGCTTACTTTGACCAATAAAATAAGGACTCAAGGGCAGTTCTTTTTAGGCCAAATGAATTGTGAAGTTGTAAGATTTGCACCATTTGCATTTGCGAAATCAACGATTTGCACGATGGAAGATGGGGCGGAATAGTTACAAAAATGGCAAAAAACATAGTTAATTGAAAAGGAAAAGTTAGAAGGAAACTTGATTTGTTGTCATCCAGCGCCTGTAAGTTGAAAGAGTGAGTACATAATATTAGTTTGGACATAAATTGAGACAATACTAGCTGGGTATCGATAACTTACGTATAAAGATATCAATACCTTTTAGTAAAAAAAAGGTTCAGAAAAAGCCATAAAAGGAATGCAAATATCTAAAATAGATGGCTTGCTGCCAATTAAATAGTTTTGAAAATAGAAAACATACAGCAACAAGCTTTCTGTACACATCTAAGCTTCATGGCAGTCCTGTATGCTGCAAATTTCACATCGTTCAAATCGGCTGAAAGAAAAATGAAGAAAATATGAAAAAAAAAAGATGAACGTCGAAGATTTATAAAGAATAGAAAACGACTTGAAATATATCATATTCGTCAAGGGTTCTCAACTTTCCGAATCTTTCCACACCAGTCAGAAAGAAGCATCAGTTGAAAATTGATTAATTTAACAATTGCATCCTGTTGGAAGACTAGAAAAGTTTACTAAAAAGAAGAAGATACTAAAAATCAGGAAAAGCTTACAGAGAGTTCGATAAACTGCACTCATCTTTGGATGATCCCACTGTGTGGTTTTTGTGTCATGACTGCAAAAGAAAACAAAGATTTCAAGTTGAATTTATAAACTCATGATTTTCAACAACTGATTGAAGAAGAGAACTATAACCTTGTTTACTCATTACTTGCTTGTATCAAATCTATTTATTGAATTTATAGGTCGGCCAACAGGATCATATAAATAAGGGAATCACTCGATTAATCATCAAATAATTGTTTATTTATTCATTATTGTAACAGAAATCCACTTTTTAATAAATTGACAAGCTGATTTTTTACTTCAAAATATTTCTTGTCTCAAGAACTTTTTGAAAAGTTCTTTATAAAGACCATATATGAATGATAAAACAGCAAGACAGAGCAGTTACAAGATTAATGATTGTTAGGAGATGCTTCCGCAATAAATCTTTGTGAATCGCTGTGTATGGATATACAACTATACGATCTGCTACATCTGATCTTCCTTAAAAACCAAATTCATATCAAATCCTACACGCACCCATATGTATTTATAAGCTTTTGTAAAACCACAATTTTTTTAAAAAGATGCGAGCATTTATAAGAAAGTCGATTGATTTCAGGCATGACTCCATAAAGGAGCAAAGTATTTTTACAAGTGAAGATTTTAAAAATATACATGAATATGTTTCAAATTCCATTCTACTCACTTTATGTAATAGGGGACTTTGTTAACAGCAACAGATCTTTCCCATGGTGCATTCACACTTCCTGCATTAAAGTAAAAAGGTCGCACGTGAAAACGTTGTTTATCAACTGGAAAGTACGGAAATAGCAAGGCAAGCATATTCACTCATTCCATGCGCAAACTAAACCTCAATACGATAACTGTTTGAAATTCTGCTAAGTGTGGTCCTTTAAATACAGCTTACGAAGAAACTAGGGGGTAAACAGTCCTATCACTGAGCTTTCTCAACTTAAGTAACTTGCAATGTCTATACTTTTGTTGGGTCTAAAAATATTTACAAAATTATAAAGCCAGCAGCCAGGGTTACAAACAGTATCATATTCTTTAAGAGTAAAGGGGGCAATCTCCTCAGTTATTAGATAAAGAATGGTAACAGCTAAGAACAATTTAGGATCCTTATCAATGTATTTAATGTAAAAGACATGTGCTAGTTTTACATTTTCTTGATGCATATAACTCTTAAAATGTGCATTAAATATAAGATCTTGTTATATGAAGCTAGTCGCGATAAGAAAATTTGTTGCTCAATTCACTACATCCTCGGATTTTAACCAGAGGTACCCCGAGAGATCAGTTTTAATTTCTTAAACCTCAGTATTTTCTCAAGAGTTTTCTAGTATCTTTACATGCCGCAGCAATGTGAAGTAGGTTTAATTTTAAATTGAAGAAGTTTCGTCTAGGCCTAGCTTTATATTGTCATAATTTCACTGATATTTATATTAGAACGAAACGCTTTTGGGCAAAGCAGACAAAACAGCGAAAGTTTTAATAAACCATCATTATCTTATATAGTCTGCATTGTGATTCTTCTAATGATCCCCCGGCAAAACTAAAGACAACCGTGAACATTTGCACAACAGGGCTTTAATACATACATGATAAAAATTTCATAGTGGCATTACAGATATTTCAGAGGCTGATACCCCTTAATTAATATGGTCTGGTTTTCAGCATTTTTGATATCAGCAATGATCGTCTGATAGTTTACGATGCAGAAAAGCCTTCCAAATTCAGCTCAAGTAATACTGCGAGATTAATATTCTGCCACAGACTATAACTTAAGTTTATTTAAAATAAGAGTCGTTGTGGAAAAACAAAGATACTTTCTAAGCAATCGGTAAATGCCTAATTAACCGAATCCTGAGGTATTAAAACGTGAGTTGGATTAAAATCCGATTTAATCTAATTTACAGTGTACGAAAAACAATAGCAAAGAAAACCAGCTATGTTTTTAAGGCTTATCAGAGCGCCAGAACAGCCAATTAGCAGCTAAACGTTCATCCCTCTGTTGTAAAACAAATTGCTAGCGTTGGATATCTAATCACTGACGACTTGAAATTTATGACATTTTAAAATCAGTTGCCAATGTTAAATAAATCTCTTACACAAGCTTACAGTTCTGCAATACCACAAGTTTGTTTTAATTAAAGGATCCTTCGACATACAAAGGTTAGAAACATGACACGATGTTGAGGAGGATCGTGTTTGGTGCCACACTCCCCGCAAGGAAAAGTGTCTGTGTTCTTTGTGTCGTATCGTTGAGGGTGAAAAAGCATTTCTAAACGTACCTGCCAGTTCTCCAGATCCATGGATATCGTAATCAGAAAGCAATTCTTGTATTGTTCGCTGCCTTTCCACACATCCAATGTGAAGCTGGTTCCATCTCCTGTGCAACTGGTCAATTTCACTCTCAAGAGATCCAGAAAGTACCACGCAGTGAAACTGGCGCAGCTCCTTTGCAGAACCGTCCATGTTATCAAATTGTCCTTCGAGACCAGAAAGCTGTTCCAAAAAACTCTGGAAAAGATAAAGTTTATAGTGAATTGGCAGCATTAGAGGTAGGAGCCCCGAGATCGGATCAAATCAAAAGAAAAGGCAGATCTAGTCTCTCGGTGACAAACTTCTCATTTCATAAGCTACATAGAACAAACCGATCTAGTTGTTGTGGCAGGGAAATGCAGCTCATTAACTTGATATTTGTTTTTAGTTCAAAAAAGAAAGGTTTCTCTTCAACCGACATCTAAGCCTCGTGAATATTCTTATTTACTTGCACAAAGACTAATACACTTGCTCAGATATCAGACACGATATAAGGTTTTATTCATATTAGGTTTGATTGAGCTGAGCGTGGATAAAGAGGGAGCGGGGGAGGGATAGCTGGACTGACTTATGGAAAATGACCTAATACAATTCTAGGTTTACTCATCACAATATCGCAAATAACAAGAGCAATATAAGAAATAACTAAGAACAAACCTTGACTTCATCGAGTTGGTCCTGCAGTGAATCAGTATTCTCGACTGGCGGCCATGTGGATCGAATCTTCTCAGCTTTTGTTAAATGCATATTTACTTCGTCAATCTGGGCTACTAGCATATGCATCAGCTGAAAGGATAAAAAAGACAAAAACTGAAAGACAGGCATAAAAGCTTATAAAGGCAAAAGATGCTACAAATCAACAGAACTAGGTTCGGCGTAACGTTTGCCAAAGCTAGACCTCAAAGATTTGACAAAGTAGAGGCACATCTAACTTTTTGAAATGACAGTGAAAATAGGCATTGGAAGTCAGTTCAGGTGAAAAATTTTACAGGCTAATGTAGTAACATGTAAAACAGCTATTTGATTGCAGAGTGAAATCGGTCGTGGCAACAACTGGCATTTCGATTAATTTAACAATATACGACTATTCAATCAATGCTAATTCTTCGGCAATGCACACGAAGCATTTTGCAGTGACATCAGATTAGGAACCAACGAAAAACCGCAAAAATTAGACATACATGTAGAACTTCATCCAGTATTTTCTGCCATTCCTCGGATTTGTGAATCAGTTGCTTCCACTGCTCTTCGACATGTGACAACTGCCTTCGCAAGTTTTCGATAACCCGTAGCAATAGCGACGCATTGCTGTCTCTTCTGCCTCCTTCTGGGGTACCCTCGTGTTTGCTTAGAAACTGCTTTCCTTGTTGCAATGCTTGCTCGATGATTAATCGTCTTACGTTAAGTTTTCCTTTGAAGGCCTAAAAGTATGAACCATAATAGAACCATAGAAAAAAACTTCAGAATATCTAGCTATGCATACAACTGGCAACATTATTGGGCTCTAGGCAACTTAAACTTCATCGACCGTTACTTGGCAACTTGCACTTTCAAACAACCTCCTTCTGGAGCTTATACAACCAATTGAAAACTATTCTTGTGAATTAAACTATCTAAAATTAGCCTTTTCCAAGGGCTCATTTCTTAGACGTTCCTAAATTTTTCATACTTTTCTTGTAGCTTTTCTAGTAGTAAGTTTTCAAAGCTTTTCAGATTTTTCTCACTAGTCCTACGAATAATCTATGTTTTAACGAACAAAATTCAGTCATATTGGCGATTCAAATGAAAATTCTACACAAATTTGGAATTCTTTTAAAACAAATGCTGTAAGAGACGGCATAACTCATCTTTGGATGGTTCAAATCTATAGCAAGTATAACGATCATGAAAAGTATCGCATCATTAAACCATTGGTGTTAGAAAACATTTTGATTCCCAGAAAGTTCTAATCTGGATAAGAATTATCCACAGAAAGCTACAACTCTTGATAACTGCAAGAAATGATGCGAATATGAAACTAGAATGAGCAGAAATTTATATATTTCTCCCTTACTGGATATATTGTTCGCATTTCTGCAAAAAGTTGCTTCTACCTGAAAGAATTTAAGTAGCATCCGTATCATCACAACAAACTTATCTTGAATGCTCAATCTAGAAACTACTGAATAAATTTTTCTGCTATGTTAAGAATTAGTCTGTTTTGAGCTGGGCATACCTGGTGGTTATCGTTCTGTTGCTGTACTGTCTCCACATCGCCACCGATTGGCTTTTGTGATGTCAATTCCTGATCGGCTCTAACCAACCAATCGACGATTTCCTGCATGTCAAGCAGCAACTGTCTCCACTCACCAGTACCGTCGCTGACCCTACAAAAGCATAGAATCGCATTGGCGAGGCTTGTAAAACATTCCAGATATTAAGCTCACTAATAGCATTCTTTTCTTGAGTCGCTAAGAGTTAACCAACGATGCAAGGATAAAGCTAAATACGTACTTCTGTAGAAAATACAAAACTTGGCATAAGCACTGTGAAATAACTTGAAAATCAAATACATGCAGCGAGAAAGAACGTTTTCTGCTACTGCAAAACACCACACTTAAAATATTCTGATCTTACTGGTACTTTCACACGGAAAACATGCAGTGTGAGATTCTAAAAAAATTTGGGAAAATAAAACCGAAAAATAAAACCTCCAACAGCGCGAATCTTGATAATCAGTTGCAATAATCAATTTTCGTTAGCAAAAACTAATAATGCAGCGGTAAACCAGCTGGCGATATTCAAAAGCCTTAGGTAACGGGTCTCGTCTTAATAACACGTTAGTTTATTCTGTCTGCATAAAAATGTGTAGTACCTGTCCCTTATGTCGACCACTCGGACACCAAGGCTGTTCCAACGATCATTCATATCATCAAGTTTCGACTGCAATGCTGTTAAAACCTCCCCTGGTTCCAAATCGGCGATTATATTTTGACCAGTTTCGTTTAAGGTAGAAAACATTGACTGGTGATCACTGATGTCTTCCTCCAGTTGCTGCAAAAATCGAATGTCTGTTTGAGACCAATTGTGGAATACAGATACTTCAATTACGGGACAAAATGAGCAAAACGATTGTAAGCATCTATATAAAGGCATACCAAACATAGGACAGGCGAATCAGTGGTAAAAAGACATTTTCCAGTACGTAACAAAATGGAAAGCACCGTTTTATGCTGTGTGTACTTTATTTAATATACAGCACTTTATAAAAGAAAAATCATTCTGTATTTCCCAAGCTCCGACTTGCCGCTGGTGATGAAAATTCCACGTAAACCGACTGGCTTCTATCTTTCAAGATAGTTACTCAACCTACACAAACAACGCCAGCAAACTCAGTTCTGATGCAAAAGATAGTTTAAACTTATCCAGAAAACGTGTATTCACGAAAGAAAAGAAACCTGAATCTATTTGCGAAAAAGCTGAAAGCCCCTTAACCGTTTACTCCTACCGAGCGCTGTGAAAAACAGTAATTTTTCTTGTGCGTAATTTACGCGAAATACTTTAAACCTCTGATGATCCTCAGAAAGGGGCGCCCGCTTCCCAGAAAAAGCTAATTGGAAACTTTAATATCTCCACAGGTGTGAATAAAGCCTAAACTAGTGATGTGTTTAGTTCCTAAAAGAAGATTTCCAAGATGGGAGATGGCGATTAGAAGCCACAGAAAGAGTTCTGTCTTCCGCAGGAACTGTTGGCACTTATTCTTCAAATATCCAAGCTTTGCGGTTTTCTATAGCATAGAACTTGCAATATTTCACTTAAAAGCAAATTCCTTTATTCATTTTACATAACATGTCCTTATGTTTGACATAGGCTTTAACAAGCAAAACCCTTTTTCAAAGAAGCTTTTTTACAATGGTTTTGAAAAAAGTAAATATTTTTAGACTTTTTGTAAACGTTTTAGACTCTGAATGTAAAACGTTTTGGCTGACACTCCTTAGCGTATAAAATGTAAAGATAGACTGATAGCTTGACATTTATGTAAATACCTAGCAATCAATCGAATAGGCCAATCAGCGAAAAATATTTTATTGGAGTCAAGGGTGAGAGCGAACTCCATCTGTCTACACTGACGTCACTTTTCATAGACACTTTTCATTGGCTGACCAGGAAACGATGTAGGAGATTTTAAAGTACGTTTTGTATACTATCAAAATTGTTTAGGGGTGTGGGGTGTGGACACCCCCACATTCTTGTGTCCTTCGGTAAATTTTGCTTCGATACGGTGGACACATTCCTTGGTTGTCAGAATTAAAGCTAAAAGTGAATTATAAAAATGGGCACTAAAATCCAATGATTACCGAACATCCCCTAAATCCATACCGCCAACCATGTCTATGTTGGGGCAAGAAGGCAGAATAAAATATATTTTGGAAAAAAAGAAAAATTAAAGAAAAAATAATGAAAACAACTTGACGTTCCAAGCAATATCTGCAGGCTCTGTATAGCAAAATATTTAGCAATTAGCAAGACAACACACCGCAAGTTCTTTGTGCAGCTCGTCCATTTCTATCTGCTCTTCTGTATGGCTTGCCTCCACGATGGAATCGAGGTCAGCTACCTTTGACTCAGCTGAGCTCAACCACGTCAGAGCAGTGATCATGTTTTTGTGGAACAGAAGCAAACGATCGAGTGATTCCTGCAAGCTGTTTTGTCTGTTTGATGATCTATAACGTGTAAAAGAAGAGAGATGGTTAAAAACATTTGATAAAAGAAAAATATTGATAGATTTGGTAAAAGATAAAGATTGATCTATAAGAGCTTCATCGCCACGCCAGCATTTTAATAGTCCGTTATAACAATAATGTGGTGCAAAGAGGGCTCTCCAAAATACCTTACAAAGCAGAAAGCCACGAGTACACTTCAAAGTATACCCTCGATTTTGAACACAATCTGTCCACACGGCGAAGAAAACTTTGCTACACCAAACTATCAGTGTCAAAAAGGAAGCATTACTGGAGACTGCTGGAGTGGCCTATCTGCCGCCATTGCTTTCGGCAAGGAATTCGTGGATTAAGCGGGGAAATAAGATTTTCAAATACTCCGATTTGAGGAAAAAAGTTGTGTTGTAAGGTGGGAAAGGTGCCCTTTAGCAGAACAGGTGTCAAGCGACTTTACAGACGTTTAAAATCTTACTTTCTGAAGTCTGACGTTACTCGCATGTAAAAATGTTTGATTGGATGGGATAATTTCAAAGTGCGCTGTTTCAGGAAGAACTTTACCACGGCAAAACAGGTCACTGGTGTGTTAGTGAAATGGTGTGACGTAACGCGTGACATGGCAGACATCCAAGTTAGTTTCTCGAACAAATATAGTAAATGTAAATAATAAATAAAAAGTTCTGAGACGAGATGATTCGCTTAATGGTGTAAATTGAAGCTCTACTGTCGATTGTCGAAAAAACCCCTAAAGATAGTTCATGTCGGATTGTCGGATAATAATAAGGCAAAGCTGTCGCGTGTTTGTGTAAGAATGAAACGTTAAGATGGGTGGAGAAATTAAAGGACCGCAGTTAAATATAAGCAAGAAAATGGGTTCTATGGAGCTGTATAGCATACGACAACATAAGCGGAATTTTGACAAGATTATGGTCGACAACATGAGATTAGCCATTATTAATATGAGCAAATCAAAAATTGAGAAATCCACGAGAGCACATGAATTTTTAATTAAGCAGTTATGTTTATTGGTCAAAATAAACTAAATAATTTCGACCACGAAGTTGGCATAGGCCCATAACATTTCGATGTGGGTAACATGGTGATGAGAGAAAACAAAAGTATATTATTTTATGGAAGGGAGCTATGTGGGCAGTTGAAAATATGTGTAAAATGGGAAAACAAACCTCGAAGCACATGGGTGAGGCATTTTGTTTGTTCGCATTATTTTAGGGAACTCTTATTAATACTCTAAGGCAATATACCATTGCACTGCAGTTTTGAAATTCTGTCAAATATTACTGCTTTTGTGATCAAGTTTCGGAACCGTAAGATCTACGTTTTGCTATCTCTTTGTTATGATCATCTTGTCTACTTGAAGCTACATTGTTGCTGCTTAATGTTGCTGCTTAATGTTGCTGCTTAATGTTGCTGCTTAATTTTGTTGCTGCTTAATTTTGTTGCTGCTTAATTTTGTTGCTGCTTAATTTTGTTGCTGCTTAAGGTTTCTGTCGCTTAATGTTGTTGCTTAATGTTGTTGCTGTTGTTGTTACTAAAGGTCTTTCCATAAGTGGTTCTCTTCTGAATTGAGCAGCGTTTGGACCCACTCACAAAGGCAGACTTTATTGTTAAGCAGATAATTTGCGGTCGGATCCTGGGATTTCTTTTTAACAAATCCTGTCAGTAAATAATTACACATACATCCTTAGATAAAATTACCCATTATTATAAAGTATTGCCTTTGTTATTTGAATCATATATTTAGGTTTCATTTTCAGCAATGAATTCTTTTGCAGACAAAACTGGAGAATTCGGGCTTCGGTATTTGCTGGTACGCCACTCTCTGGTCGTAGAACTTTATCTAATGATGCAATATCAATGCTGCATTTACCGTGGGTTTCTTCAGTCGAAATATATTTTTATGTTTTGCCGGAAGTCTGAAGCTAGAAATAGAATAGTTTCGTATATCAAGTCGGAAACCATATATTAAGAATATTTGAACAGCGAAGAGCCCAGTGTCCGTGTAAGGTTATTCAGGGCTTCATTGTATTTAAAATGCCATTTGATTGGAGATCTTTTAGGGTCAACGAAAAACAAACGTAGGCACGTTCGGAGAATAAGTTGCAAAGTTCAAAAATAAACCAAGAGACTACTCCCAGCTGTTAACGTGTTATCAAAAAGTGTGAGATAGTAAAACCAAGGAAACGTTCTTCCTTGTCGGATGATAATCGCAAACCGAGGTGAGCCAAACCTGTCATGAGTGATTCCGTGTTAGCCACAGCGAAGAATCGGTGGCATTACTAACAAGGGTGGTGGGCAGGGGCATGGTCGAATCACACCACAAAATTTGATTTCTGAAAATAAATCTTGGAGATTTATATCAAATTCTCCGCGCAATATAGGACAAAAGTTTTGTTTACTTACTACCCTTTTCTATTCAAGTATGGGAGAGCACGTAGTTCTAGCACATGTTTGAAGAACATCGGGGAAGTGCAATTTCACATGTAATTATCCGAGATTATAGCGTTGGTAATTCCTAAGTTAAAAATAAAACCTGTGGGAATCAACAATCCTTGCCAAAATTGTTGGAACACTTGTGCAAAGCTGAAGCTTCATTTGAAAAATCTCCCCCCCCCCCTACCCCCCATTGCAATGTTGCTCAATTCGGCTGCTTTGACGTTGAAGAAGCCGTATGACAGAATTGAGAAAACAAATCAACATTGTACGGGGGGAGAGGGGGTCGAAATTTTTGAAGCGGTAGTGATATTTTGGTAAGGAAGTTTCAGACTTGCTTTGCTTATTTGCATTCTGCAATGGGAAGGCATTTCAGATATTTTTGGCAAGGATTGAAGGTTTAATTATCATGAATCGTTGTTTAAAATCAATTATATAGAATTTAGGCACCAACAATGTAGTCGAGTGTTAAATGTTGATCGTTTTTTTATGTTTATATATATTTGGTTGATATTTAAATGTTCACAGCAACGACTAACTATAATGTGGTGTTAAAAAAAATTTATTAAAAAGAAGGGTTGCCTTAAAATAATATCAAAAAAATAATATGGTGAAATTCGAAGAAAGTTTTGATCGGCCAATAAATAAGTTCCAGGTAGCTTTCGAGTTTTGTTGCTCGCAATTAAGGGCGCTATAATTCTGGCAGAGGCAACAATGATCCAATTAAAAATACTGAGTTTATAAATTGCCGACAAAAACAGTTTATGCATCAGACGAAATGTAAATCATAGCTTCTTTTCTGATTGCAAATCATTAAGTGATTTAAGCACGAATTTTAAAACATGGCTCAACCTTTTGAAATGGGTTTAACAAGCTTCGGGATATGACATTGTTAAGAACTTTCTGATCAAAATCCTTATTAAGAACGGGATGTCAATGCAATTTCTTTAATCCCGTTGCAATTAAGAAAGCTATGCAAGACAATTGACAAATTTAGCAGAAAAAGAGGAGCCCAGCGGGCAATGTGTTCAATTAAATTAAAAACATCAATTGCAAAAGAGGAAACAGTATCTTTAGGGATGTTTCCAAATAACTAAAGTTGACAAATCAAAGCAACTATTTGTAAAGTCGTGAATGTTATTTTTTTTGGAAGAAACATTTTCCGATGACAAACAATTCAACACCTGTGAGAAATTTAATAATGGTTTTAGTTGCTTTGTTTGGAAACAAGTATACATATTTTAGCTATAGTGGGTAACATGCTAACTTGATTACAAAGCACGTTTCCCTTATTTGTGCAAACTCTCAATTCCGCGAGGTCGTGTTTTCAATTTAACTCCTTTATATAACAGAAGAAAATCTTTACTTTCAAAAATTGAAATGAATTTCTTAGAAAAAACAAATTGAGCATGAATTTGGAAAACAAACCACGGTCCTGATTCGGCAGGGAAAGTGTTTCAGATATCATAAATCACAATAAAAGGATGTCGAATATCTTCACAAATGCGATCACACACAAACTTAAGCACTCCGTCAATCTGAGCTTTGTGGAATAATCAGGCATCTGCCACAAAAAGCCTGCGACAGAATAAAAACCAAAAACATTTGCTTGCGATAAAGTACTGCTGTATTTGGAAAGGGCTTTTTGAATGGGTAAGAACGTATCTCTATGGATTGCAGGCCTACAGTAAGAAAGGTTTGTACTTAATAAAAGGTCACAAATCGCAGAAAAATGGTATTTAGAAATGACAATGATGAATTCACAGCCACGCTGGTCTTGCTAATGCCTTCCTTGTGCTAGGGATCCAAGAAACTCCGATGGTACAAAAATCTCTCGGTTGGATTGAATTTCAAATTCATTGATACTGGAATGACCTGTTCACAAATGAAAGGGGTTTGCTCAACTTTTTTGGCTTCCTTCAAGCTGTAATTTTTTAAATCAATGAAACAAAACACTGCATAAGATTACGTATAACACAAAGAAATTCAGCTCTTAGGCAAGTTCTTATCGCAATCTGAGCTAGTAAACGGAAGAAAGAATCAGAAAAAGAAAAGCACATCTGTGCACGTCTACTCACTCTTCGAAAAGGTACATGACAAAATACTGAGCAGCGCTCAACTGTGTTCCAATTCCATTATATGGCGACTCGGTGAATAAATTCGATTTGAAAATATTGTCAGGCTCAACGGCTGACGATTCCGATTCTAACATCTTCCCAATAAAACTACTCCAGATTTTCTACCAATTTAAAATTCAAACGATATTGCAGCAGCAAACGGCGATTATCTTCTTTCTCTACACGGGTTGGCGAAAAGTCAGACTTTCAGCGTGCGATACCTGGCTGCAAATTTAACCCGAGGGAAGCATCCAAATTCACCACATCAACTTTCCAGCTTATACCAGCTCTATCTGATACTTATGGAATGGAGCTCTCACAATCCATGCATATTGTTTACCGTATTCATCAGATTAAACAAAAGGCAATGCTCAGTCTTATTACAAATACTTCGGTTCATTGGAGAATATCAGGATGTGGTTGAAACGAGCGCTATCTATTTACACGCTGGTCAATAACGAGGCATGCTGGGTTGAACCCAAACGAGAAACCGAGGCTTTGTCCCTAGAGCGGCCCGAGTTGGATTGCGACAAAAGATCTCTACTTATTCAACACACATGCATAGGACCATAAGAGTGGGTGGGATGTTTTGTTCTTCGCTCAACAGGCACACGAGAAAACACATGAAAGGTCTGACATTATAAATAAACTAACGATAAAAAACAAAAATTACAACACTAAAATGGTAGACGTACTAAACACAAAAGTAATAAAAACAAGGATAATTAATATTGACTCGAAAAATGAGTATTATGGAAACAATAATTAAACAGAAATGTTCAAAATGATGATAATCATTTTCACAATAAACAACGATAAACACTGCAGGAACGAAAACAAAAGGATTGAACAACAAAAACCACAGCAAAAGTATACAGAGTTGTTATTAAAAACAAAACAAAGTGTGTTTATATAGTTGCATATGCAATTTCTGCATTCTGAGAGAGGAAAAGAAACTCCCGTTTCGAAGGCACACTTGATTTAATAGTTGTGACTAACAAAAGTTGGAACTCGTTCAAAGAGTAAGTCAAGGAGTTGACAGAGAGAGAGAGGTAGAATGACGAATATCAAGTGTGGAGGGTGACGTCAACATTTTGTAGCACCAATTGGTTAGGACGAATCTTACATTGGTTGTCTTTTGTGCGAGGGGCAAGTCACTCTATGGAAATCTGGTTAAGATTTATAGACAAAAGAAACGGCCGAACCTCCAAATTGTCAAAGGTTTCCTCATAACCGGGTAAAATGAAGGTATGTAAAATGACCCCATCGCTCGGTATGCGACAAGAACAACGAAATTGAGGAGAGGCTGCCCACTGTAGTGCTTCCCATTAAATACACGGTTATAAAGAAAATATAGTACAGTTTGACAATGATTGGGGGGGGGGTTCCAGCCTCCCAAAGTGCTCCCGCTTCCGACGGCCCTGAAGAATCTTGCTTAAAATTGCACGCAAAGTGCGAGAAGCTAACTGGTCATTCAGCTTTCAGCGACAGTGAGGTCAGGCCAAACCTTCTATTTCACCACCCTTTCAAAGGTTGTCTAAAAAGCAACTCTTCTACAATCTCTTGCTCTTTTCCCCATATTTTTTCTTTATATGACATCTCAAAAAATCTCCCTGCCCTAACATACCACCTAATAAATGCTTGTCAATTTTGTATACTAGGCCATAGTTCTTTCTTAATCGCCAAATAATTAGACGCACGTCGTGCCCAAATATTCCTAAGGTTCATTGCAATTTCTAGTGAAGCTCTTATGCTTAACCAATGTTCGATCTTATCGTTAAATCTAGTACATTACCCGCTAATTATTGATTATTTGTCGCCAGTAGATACTTTTGTCCTGCTTTCATAACTTGCTAGCAACAGTATTTGATAAGGCATAAAAACCAGAACATCGCCAGTCAACAGTCAAAAGAGTTTAAAGGCATGGTCACTTCGGGGTGGGACGGTGCGAAGTTTATTTGGATAGCTATACGGTAATGTACTGTAACAATTTCAAGGAAAACTTCAAGCCCGCGATCATTATTCACGATTTAAGCTAACATTGAAAACTTTAATCTCGAAAAATTGGATTTTATTTTATAGCGACCTGAAATTGAGAACGAGGCCATGAATAAGTGCACTGACACTTAAACGCGATCTAGGGGTCTTTGAGTGGGGATTAATACAAACTGAAATCTCGGAGAAGAAGTCTAGAGAGATGCTTGAGTGAACCCTCGGAAAGGGGGCCAAAACCCTTCCAAACCAACAACAAGAAAAATTTTACAAGGAAATGTAATAAAGTCCGAAGAACCAAACAAAGGGTAAACACAGGGCAGAAAATTGCGTGACAGCGGGAGAGCTGACGTAGAAGAGGAAACTGAACAGGCACGCAACCTTTCCCATTCAGCAGCGTGCATAGGATGGATATTTAAATCACGCAACAAGCATTTTGAGATTCTAACAGTTATCAACTGAGCTTTACGTAACTTCCTCACGTGACTTTTCCCTAGCAAGCAGTCCTACTTCCATAAGAACCCCGGGAAATTCCGATACCGTACATTTTCCTTCAGGATGGGGGAAGGGGTGTCAGATAAACGATGAAGGGCAGGGGAAGCTCCAAGGTTAACCTGAACATCAATATGAATAATGCAGCGTCCTAAGGAAGAACATGGTCCTTGAATACTTCTCGTTAGATTTTTAAGCACCCTTGAACACTTCTGGGCAACATATTAGAGCATGATTCTACCCCATTACCAATCCAATCTTGAGATACTCGTAACGGAACCTTCTGGTGTCTCGCTAATCAATAGATTGAGTTGCCTTTAGTCATAGTAACCCGAGAGTCAAAATGAAGCTGGAAGGAGGGAAGCAATCAAGAGGATAACGCGTGGAACCACGAACACCCTGTCTCTGAAATTTTCTCGTGTTTCGTCATAATTTGAAATAGAAGGAATGAATCTTTGAAACTTGATCTTTGTTAAGATCACTTTACAACCTTGTATTTTCCTAACGGAGATGAACGAAATTGATACAGAACTTGGTAAATCCGTCAAAGATGGAGTGTAATCCAATGGAAATGACTGTCTGTGAGAAAAAACAAAGCCAGAACCTGCGAAATTGGCTGGATTAATAACTTTGTTGAGTAATGTCTGCAGGCTGTGTAACTGTGTGTGTAGAGTTGACTTAAAGGCCTAGACATTGGGCTCAGTTTACAAGGCAGCGATACAGAAATTATTTCCAAAGAATAATAAGAGATTTCTACCCGAAAAGAACAGCTAGATCCTCGGTTGATATCATATGGGATGCGCCATAAAGATGTAGCCAAACAAACAATGAAACCTAGTCCCTACGAAAGCAGTTAGACCATCGGCTATTTGTTTGAAATCCAGAGAATAACATAACTGGCAGACGTCTTGTGACTAGTTTCGATGTACATGTGTAAACAAACATTCTGTAACAAAAGTGCAATGCAGATATAACAAATGCTGTTGTTATGGGTCCAGTAAAAATAATAACCCTTTTAAGATGCACCGATAGCTTACAGTCTTCCTTTTAACTATTAAACTAAACGCGTTTACTGCAAAATGATATGTTACAAGAGAATACACCCAACCTTTGATGATGATGGTGATGATGATTATTATTACAGTTTCTGTTGTTGATCATAAGCGATAAAACATTGATCAGTGCAAAATTTTCAACAGAATTAATCCCTTTTTCCATGACGTCATTTAGAACAGCTCTACACATCGAAACGGAACAGCATTTGAAAAATTTGAAATCGAAAGACCTAGTTGGTTGGTGTTTGACTACAAGGGTGTGATATTTAGTTATTCGACAGATATGTACACAGTCAATGCAAATCATTGAAAAAATGCATGCAAACTCAGTACATATTCGTAAATAGGGCAAATACACAATTTGGCGCGGAAAAGGGATTCTCAAATACGTCATAATTTGTATTTTCTATTCATTCCCAGCGTCGAGGCACACATTCCCTTAAGGGGTAGTGATTAAAATTTTGTCAATGATAAAAGCCCTGTCTTAATAAACTCACCCACTCAAATCAGAAAATCCCTTTCGGAAACAAAGCATCCATGTGATGAGTAACGTGAGAGCAGATGGCTTTAAAGGGTTACCATTTAATTCCCGCAACGCCCTTGTATCAAATAGATGCAAACACTATTTATATATATATATCGGTGACGTGCCTGAGAAATTTTGAAAATGATACACTGAAAATATTTACAAAAGTCGTGCATGTTAATGTTACTTTTCAAAGTATAAACATTTGCTAGGAGTATGGACACGAGTCTCAAGTGTCGATACAAATAAATTCTTTTTGGCAAATTGGCGAAGCATTCGTGTATTTTTTGGCAAAACATGCCCTTTCCTCATTCTCAACTTCTACCCTGCTTCTTTTTTTGTATTCTGCGAAACCGTTGAAAATGCCAGCCATTACGGTCCAGCCCCGTATTACTGAAAAAAACCGAACTAGTGCTAACCTTTTCAGAAGATTTGCTCTAAGAACAAACGTTTAGTAAATCATTAGTAAGACAAACGAGTATAGCCAGGGGTGTAGAGCTCAGCCCCTCTGAGCCCCCCTTGTTAATGCCTAAAATTGGCAAATTCCCACTTTTGCTTTTGTTTTTTGCAACATTTTGTGCAGCAGCCCCCCTTGTTATTTTGATAGCACTACACCACTGAGTATAGCACATTCTGCATGGCCATGAAGGGAAGACCTTGCTCTCTGCAGCTCAGATGCTCTGGCGCTTTAAGAAAATTTCTGAAGTCATTACTTGGCCTCAAGAGACAGAACTGTTGAAGACAAGATTGCAAATGTATCCTATTTAGGCACCGGTTGGCAAATCAAATAATAATAAGTATCACATTATTGCTTTCGCTTAATCCCGCTTTACTGTTCGGCTTCTAAGCCAGATTTGATATTTGTCTTTAGTACCTCTCTCAGACGGCAAATACGAAAACCCTGCTTGTTTAGTGACATAATGACTGGGAATATAGTCAAAAGAAATGTGTCTGATTTGTTGTTGTTCATATTCAATTGGCACATTTCATCTTCTTACAATAAATCTAATGTTGACTTTCTATCGTGTGGGGGCCAAAGCCCTCTATTTAAAACTACCAATCCTGACCACAAAGATAAGATCTTTGCGTGGCCAACAGAAAGAATCATGGCAGAACCTAACCAAAGCGAGCAGATACACCATAGCTTACAGATGATAATATCGAAACAGACATACCGCTCTTTGATTTCTTCCCACTTGCGTCTGATGTTATCTGTGGCTGCTTGCAATGACGTCAAATTATGATCTGCATACTTCTGAGACATCTTCTCGCTAGCTTTACAAAACGATACATAAACTTTCTCTATACCAGGAATGTCGTCTTGAAATTGCTAGGAAGGAAAATGAAAAATAGATTTTGATTATTAAGGTCATGATGCCCTGAATCTCACAGTGGAGTTTTGTGTTTCACCTACGCGTATTATACTGAAAGCAACACAAAACGAGTAGTTCTAAAAAAACCAATTTACTGGCGACTTTGTAACAAGGTCAAACGACTTTATGAAGCTACAAGTCACAAAAACTTCGTGAAACGATTGAAAACTTCTTAGACATTATAAAAATGTTTTAGCAACAGAGAAAACTGAAAAGTACTGAACCCTCTGCTACGCCATTTGTTTTATGTTTCAGACAAATCTAAAACGAAGTTCAATGCACTACCAGAGACTAGGATCACTTTCAATCAAAATTCGTCCCTAATGAAACTGAATGCACAATTTCTCATAAACACCAGAAACAAATTTTTGTTAAAAAATGTCCTAGAAAAACGTGGGGACTTTTTATGTTTAAGCAAGGAAAGCAGAGACGGATAACGTGCGGTAAAATAAATTAAGCTCCGTTTAACAGCGAGCTGTTCAACACTAGACGGATGACAGTTCGCGAAATTGAGAAGTATGATTGCTATTCTAGGGCTTAAAATGAAAGCAAACACATTGAATTACACAATTTATAACACATTACAATAAGAGCGTTTTCGTCTGACACTCTTCAGAGCATAAAACGTCAGAACAAAGGTTCAAAGAAAATGATAAAAAATATATACACCGTTGTGGATCAAAATAGGCCAATCAGAAAAACGCAAGCACAAGACCGGTATAGTTGACCAATCAGTGCTGCGTGCCTAAAGATAAAATTACCACTGGAGTCCAAGAGAGAAAGCGAACTCCTTCTGCCTACACAATGGCGGCTTTTTCGTTCGTATGTAGATCGTTTCTAAAACTGCTAGATGGAAAGACAATCGGGCTCTGCCAATTATCTGTAACATGTCGTCATTATAGAGTTTAGCACAATCTGGGTTTTCTAAAAGATGTTGGCCGATGGCAGAATCACTTGTTTTAGCGGTGTTTCTAGACCTACAAGATCGAGGAGGCTGTTCTTTTCGAGGGTCAGTTTTGTTTCTTATGTTGGAAGGAACATGCTGTTATATCCTATCCCCCAACCTTTGCTATTAGCTATTCTAGGGCTATTTCCAAGAATCTTGGACTTACTGAAAACTTTTGTCTGGGGGGAGGGGATGCTAGAGGTGAGAAACTTTGAGAAGTCTCCAAACAAACCGCAATTTTGTAGGGATTTTCTATTTCAATATTAAAACATTTGTTAGAAGGGAAACTATCAGAAAATCTTTCTGGCAAGTAAGTGTACAAAAACGTCCAAGCAAGAACTTCATTTCAAAATATTTGTATGTAGATAACATTTCAGGCGAGAAGCTATCCAATTTTCTAAGCATGAAAAAACCTAAAACCAATACTAAAGTTGTCAGTAGACGTAAGCAATATGACGCCGCCTGCCAAAAAAGCCAGTGTGTATCGCTGTATTTACGCGATCAAAATTTGCCATAATGGTTTCAGGAACAAGCTGACTGGGACTAAATCAAAGCCTTTGAAGGATGGGATAGTGGATTTATCTATGTTTTAAGAGATTAACTAAATGCTCAAAGCCGAGAACTTTGAAGACTGAAAGAATTATAGATAAAGAATCCGAAATATTCACTTCACAAGTGACCTGACCATAGATTAAGTATTGAAATTGGCCGCTTTAATGGTGTTGTCGAAAATGAGATTAAACCTATCATAGTATTTATGCTTAAATACACGATAGGATACAGAAAATCTCATATAAATAAAACATTTTTGAAAATACTACCCGAAAACTATCTCAGAAGCTTCAAAACTTCTCGTCAAAAACAACAGAAGTAAAAATTTATGTTAAAATAGGAAGCAGTGTGAATCACAACAAGGTAAAAGGAGAACGTGAAGTATAATATTCTAGAGATATCTTTGTCGCTATCAGAGCAAAGGCTTTTGAAAATAAAATAAAGTTATAAGACCAAAGAAAGGGAGACCACAAGGCCACAGGGTGTGTCATAGATGACAAACAAGGTCTGAAGGGCCTAGGGCAATTTTTTAATGCTTGAAAATTCTACAAAAAAAATCACATCATGTTAGGCTAAAATCCGATTTACACTTTAAACTGTTATCACCACTAAAAGATCTACTGTTTAGAGTGGTAATTTGCAATGGATTAATAAATATAGCAGACAGAAACATGAATGAAAGATAGTCCAGGTACTAATCTTAGAGGCCTAAGGAGAAAGGAGATGAATTGCGAAAGCAATTATTATTGCCAGTCGCTTCCAACCAAAACTGATTGGGACAATTTGCCTTAGCAAGGGTGATAATCATGTATGTTTTAGGCTTACAAGTTACCAGTGACATTGCTACATTGGAAAGCAATTTTTTTATACTTAGGATAAAGATTTGATCGAGAAGGTAAGCAAGTCAAATATTCTATTGACATGCACGTGGATCAAAGTGATTACAAAGAAAACCATAAAGAACTTTGATTACATGGGAAGGAAATTACAGTTATCAAAACAAAACTCGTCGATGTAGCTTCAATGCAAATGATTTAAAAAGCGGGGCAGCGTGCAGGCCCCTTCAAAATTGACTAGAGTCACGCAAGCACGAAAAACAAAATTCGATTCTTAGAAACTAAGGATTCAAAAGAGATGCTTGATTGTAATCAATGCCGTGCTTTCCCGTCTTGCCTCTTTTTTCCGCTGCCAAAATGAATTTGTAACCATAACAAAAGCAACCACACAACAGACAAATTAGACCTTAGATTCTAGAAGGTGGCTAACTCCCGGTCTAGTCAATATGATATTGTAAATCTTGGTATGTGTGTCTTTGAACTGAGAAGAAACTGATTGAGAACAATAGTGAGAGAAGGATTGTAAATGGTGAGTATAATCTGAAAAAATAACTGCAAGCCAGAATTAAATACATGGATTTCCTTGGCAGATATCGCAAAGCTTCATGCAAACAAAACTTTTGGAAAGAAAAGTGCAAAGCAAGGATGATGTTTGTAATCACTTAGCACTGCAATGTATCGTGTTATTTAGAATTATCTTGAAATTTTTAGCTCTAATTATAACACACCTTCTGAACACTGAGAAATTAATTGATCACGCCCTTCGAAGAGCCAATAAAAATACCATACATCATTTTACAAAAGCGGATTTTAGAAAGTGTCTGTAAAACAAGGTTCTCTTTATAGTTACTAGACAATAATCAATTTCAAGATACAAGGCCAATTTATTCATTGATTTGACATGACAGGCAGGGGGCAGGGGGAAGTAATTGATATGATGGTCATAGGCAATTTCAAAGTACAATTTGCTAACCAAGTTTACTTCCATCTAATTGGAAAGTAACTGTTTGTTTCACTGACTATCAAGTTTGTTTCACTTTGATAAAGATATGTAAATATGTTTTATACAGATCATAGAAAAACAGGCAGGTACAACAGTACCTTTGGCGTGTGACTCAGTCAGCTTACGTCTCCCAAGAAACAAGCTGGGCTATTCCTAAGATAATCTCAACACGATTATGTGGATGGAAGCCAGAGGCAGTGTTGGGCGGCTGTGAATCGGTTATTGAAGGAGACAGGTTCTAGTAAATAGCTTGTGATCTTATTTGAAGAAGTGATTATCCAAACAATCACTGAAAATCTTATTTGGACTTCCGTGATCTTGTTAAACATTTAAAGTTCTCTAATTCACACAATCAAACCATTGTTATTTATAATTATCATCAATAAGACCTATTTTACGATCATGTTTTGACCGTTCCGTGGATTGATGTATGAGTTTCTATGTCGAGATCAGCGTGAGGAACCACGGAGTTAGAAAAGCAAGGTACGTAATAATGGTGTTGTTTTTTCCAGGCACCTCGTGAGCAGAAGCTTACAGAGTTGAGATCTTGCTTTAAGTCAAGAAAAATCAAATTTATTGTCAAAGATGAACGAGCGAAACAAAGACGAGAAAACCATGACATACTAACAATGCAATAAAGAACGTGGTCCTTGAAAGGCTGCAGGTATATGACAAAGGTTTGGAGTATGACGTTGATTGGGAATGCTGGCAAAAATGTAGATGAGAGTTTAACTTCTTTGTTTGTTCAACTGAGGTTTTTCCAGGAAGGCGATGGGCTATGTTTCAATTAAATCCCAAGCTTCAACATATATAGCATAAACTTAAAAAAAACTATAAATAATTTCAAAAGGTTATCCATTCCTAACAAAACACAAATCGAAAGGGTAAAAGGAGAATTTTAAAATATAACCTAGGGAGGGCAACTGTACTTTCATAGGGTTAATCTTCAAGTGATTGATTTCTAAAAAAAATTCTTTTCCGTGGTACCGACCAACTCTGTTTTCAAAAACAGCGGCGTTTTTTGTGCTGCTCTTTAAACCCTTATCGTTACTCGGCAAAATAGGAAACTTCAAGAAAGAAAATGGGAACTTTAAATTTTCTGTTAGCTGACAACCACATTTGGAACAAAAAATAAAAATGTTTACCTTGTGCTGCATAAGTTGTTCCTCCAGTTCAGTAACAGTACTCCCAGGGTCCTTTGCGCCATCGCTGCTGAAATACTTTTCAGCACTTTGCAGCCACCGAACAAGCTGGCCTCTTAAATCTTCGTACGTTCCCCAGTGCTCCACCAGTTCTTGCGACTGGTGTCGGTGCGATCTGAATTTAAAAGTGACTGCCTCCCAGTGCTCTTTTAACTTGATAATTTTATCATCGATGGCAAATTTTGAAGATTCACTTGCGTCATTTGACAAAGCAGCACCCAACTCGGTTGTTTCTTCGAGCTGCCCTTTGCGAAGTTCCAACTCAAGATCAACGGCCTGAAAATGAAATGAAGAGAGCTTATTTATGCAGATAAAAATATGAAGGGATATTTTGATGCAATTTTTATAAAATTACACAGAGGGGACATTTTTGATGAAATTTTTAGAGGAAAAAGATAAAAAACAAGGCCACAAAACAATATAAAATATGTGACACCTCAAATGGAAGGACGACTAATTGATTAAACTAACCTAAACTTACTAATACGCTTTAAGAAATCAACTTAAAAAGTAATCATAACAACTAAGCAATTATATCTAAAATACCATTGCTACGATAGGATAGTGTACATTTGCACAATAACGCAGAATCTCTGTTTTAAAACAGTCTCAATTTCACCTTATTTTTTAAAATCTTTTCAAGCTACTCGACACAAGTTTCTTTAACTCAGCAAATGAAAAACTTAGCATTGATATATATTGCTATTGTGTTTGAGATGCTCTACAGCCCTGGATGGGACTTTCTTGTAATCGGTAAATAGGGGACAGTCTAAGTTTTTCGTAAGGGCCCTAGATGCCTCCGCCACGCCACTGTAAAAGTGTGCGTGTTCTGATTTTCCAGCTATGCTAAATGTCCTTTATGTGGGAAATTGATGACGTTCCCCATCCTCGGAGGCTAATGGGACTCCGTAGCTAAGCAACCATGTGAAAGAAAACGATTGACAGGTGGAGAGAGAACGTGAGAGACTTCAAAAACAACGAGATGTGAGGAGAGTTTGAAAATTGTAATTTGTTTTGTTTTGTTCATTAAAGTACTCTAAAACGTACCAAGCGAATTCATTATTGTTGTCACGAACCTAAATAAAATTCGCGACATTTACTTAAATATCTGTCACCATCCACAGAACAGAAAAAATAACACTTTTAAAAAAGCATTTACCAAATCACAATAACGACAAAAAAATAACAAATTAAAAAAATACAAAAAATAAGAAAATTCAAGAATGACTCAGTCTATTATTGGTTATGTGGATGTTTTACCCGAGGGGTAAATCATCCCAAGAAAATTTCGTACAATTTTTAGGAATCTCGTACGCTATTTGCAAGAGTGAATTACCCCTTGGTTTTACCTTCGTAAAAAGAAGGAACGGATAAGAAAAACTAACTTTGGGGAAGGGGGAAAACATGTTTTTTTATGAGATAAAAAAGGACCACTGACCGCGTGTTGCTGGGCAGCCTTCTCCATTTCTTCAGGATCACCAATCAAAACCGGGGTAATAAACTTAGCCTCGGTTGCACTTAGCCAGGAATGGATCTCTCTGACCTTGCTCTCAAATGATGCGCTGCGGCAACCAAGATCTGGTTCTAAAGCATATAAACAAAGCGTTTTACTAAAAGGTCTGTTATTTTATTGAAGTACTTGTGCAAAGGCAACATAGGGGATGTAATAATAAAGAACCGTTGAGCCATGCAATTCTCTTCGCTTTCGAAAACGATTACATGGCAATCACACATCATTATTGCCAGCCATACCTGTCCCCACATATTCTCGCTATTATTCTCGTGGACATAATACTGCTCAAACATGAATAACTGGTTTGATTTATATTTAAATTCTTGAATTGTTTGAAAGTCCAAGTTTCTACACTTACAACGTACCTTTTGTGGACTGAAGGTGACTTTAATGCTGTGGGTGAAAGTTTATTAAATTGCAAAATTGAGCAGGCCTGATGTTTGACAACATGATCTGACATTCGGCAATTTTATCTAACAAGGGGGCTTTTTGATCAAAATAACAATACTTGAAATTCATAAGATCAATTGAAAACATTTGGCCAATTGGCCAAGAAACCAAAAATTTCTTACAGGAACCAAAAATGGAGCGATACTGTTTATCTGTAGATAACCATAACCTTTTTTAGGGTTTTTAGAGGGTAAACTCCAAATAAAACATCATTGTTTCTAAATGGTAATAAATTGCAAAACCTAATTGAAGAACTAACCGTCATTCATTGTGAAATACTCCGGAGATGACTCCTGCAGATGCTCCTCCGCAACTATCACGTTTTCGCTCACCGCTGCCTTCTCTCTCAACTGTGAAGCCAACTGTATGATAATCTGCCAGTCACGATTCAATCTCTCGATTTTATCGCGGACTTCTTTTGGAAAAGCTGTTGTCAAGTCTCCCTCGCCACGGAACTCTGAAAGAAGTTTATTAATTGCTTCGACATTCTTTTTCCGTGTGTCCAACGCCTGTCTCATCGTCTGCAAAACGAAAAATTGAATCAATGAGGGAGTGAATAGAAATTTCAACTCATGAACTAAACGTTATAGCAAGAAATAAGCCCTAGCACCAAACAAGTTAACGCCATAAAAACCACAGGGCATATAATTCTAGTAACCATAAAAATACAAACCTGCCGGAACAGAAAACATAATAGGCCGACTGAAAAGTTTGTCTCGAAAAACAACCAAAACCAAATAAATATCAGCACCCTAGCTGAAACAACGCAGAGACCACTCTTCGAAATGCATTGTGTGTTGTCTCTCCTTGACAGTTGACGAAATCCCTACTTTCTCACTTTGACTATCAGGAGATACTAACAACCAAACGAAAAGAACAAGCCCACGTCACTGGCTGAATTATTTCTCTATGCTTGTAAACATTTCAAAAGCATAAATAATCTTTTACCCCCCTGAAATGTCCTCAATACGATTAGTCATAGAACAAAAATCTGAAAACACAGGGGGTTGTAGCATCAAATATGGGCCCAGAGGACGCAGTTCTTTTACAAACAAACGTGGGAGTCGGCAGTATACAATTGAAATAACGTTTTTCTCGGCAGCAATTCTCGAGTGAAAAAGGAAACAAAAGGAGCCAAAAATATGATAAAGTTCAACAGAACCTTAATTGGATACCAAGTTAACAAAATCGAGGGAAGTGTTTAACTAAATGGGATTAAAAACTAGAGAAATATAAATATTTATACACGTTATTGCAATTAACAAAGCATGTATATTTATTTAGGCCAAACTAATTTATTTGAATGGAAGCATATCGAGGCGATACAAAATCGACATACAACACACCCAAACTGCCTTATTCACCTTGACAAAAACTTCCATAATAAATGATTAGGCCAAACCATTAAACAGCGGGGGGAACAAGAAATATTATTTCACGAGAATGGGACCAAAACAAAAGATAGCTTTGCAAAGATAAGATAACATTAACAATAAATAACCGAAAAGTTTACTTAAAATAACTGTTTCAACCACTACTTAATAAGCAGAAATATTTTCCAAATATGCCTTTAGATCGTACAGTTTAAAAAAGAAAGAATGAAACAATGGCAGTCAAACATGAACATGTCATAAAACATCCAAATTTCAATTTTTATTTTTCCTTTTGCTATTAATTTTAATTTGTCATGAAATTTCAAAACGCCTATGTTACCTCTGGGTCCACCATCATCCCACTTGCCTCGCCTCGTTCTTGTTTCTCGAGAAGATCCCTTGTCGCTGACATCCAGACAGACAGCTCTTCGAGTTCTTCTAAGAACTTCGTTGCACGTGACAGCTTTTCTTCGACTGCTGACCTACGCTGGGACAAGGCAAGACTGACCTGTTGCCATCTATCCTGTACAATGGAAACTTTGCTCTCAATTTCAGTTACCGATTTAGAAGACAAAGTTTTCGTCAACATCTTCTGTCCAGAGTTTGTAAGATTGAGAAGCTCTTCTTGTTTCGAAGAGAGTTCTTCTTCGGCTTGCTGTCGAAGCAAAAGTTGATGATAATGATGATAATGAAGTTTGCTTCGTAAATAAAAGGAATATCTTCATGCTTTAACATGATTTCTTTAAGGTTGAATTTCTTACTTATCCCTGATTTCAAATTCTATTCCCTTTTACTGAGTCAACAAACTTGAACGTCAATCACAATGAATTTCTAGAGCCCTATTCCAATCAAATAAGAGGGCCTTTACTAAAGAGATTACAAAAAGCAGTACACAGCTCCATATATAAGATACGGTTTTATGCTAAGAACATACTATTAGCTTTTCTTTGTATTCATCCAAACCGTCTTCATCGATAGGGTGTGGCTGTGTTTCTGTAATAAGTTTGTGTGTCTTATTTATCCATACCAGAAGTATGTCGCAAGATTCAACAAAAACATTCACGTCTTGGCTGCCAACTTGCTGGAATCTAAAGGAAAAAGGAATACTTATATTCCAGATACCTATACATATAAATACTCTATCAACGCTTACCGATCTTATGAAATACGCTTCATGGTTTTGGTATCTCTAAAAAGTGGCGACACACCGCAAAAGTAGCGACACACCGCACAAACATGCAACATAAAGCAGAAATACATTCCATATCCCTCTGCTTGGTTATACCTTGTCATTATCACAATGAAATGCAGCAAATATATGTAACAATGTATCTTCATCACTGAAGTAGCAAAAAAAGAAAAATAATTTGCCTGAAACTATTGTTTCGCGATTCTTGAACTGGAATCTTATCAATAAATTGCTCTCAGAAGAACACCCCTTCGTATTACTTAAAAATATCAGTATTGAGTAGCAGTGTATAGAAAGGTAGCTCCACTTTCTTGCCTTTATTGATTGGAAACTGAAGAGATATTATAATGAATTGCTTGCACACGATTTAAGAAGGAATGTTCTTCGGTAAAATAAACACTCTCAAAATTTATTTTTTAGCTGCCTACCAAAAAAGAGCAAACAAATAAAATATCACGAAAACATTAAATTTTACCTTAAAAATGAATGCAGAGTTTCAAATTGAGACATAGCAGAAACATAAAATTATCAACAATATTTAGCAGTTCACTTTGTGGTAGCTGATCACTAACGTGTCTGGAAAACGACAGACCTGCAACTCGATTTATGGTTGAGTGAAATCAGCCCACGTGCAATACTATAATTAAAATACATCCAACGCAGAAACCGCTTTTAAAAAAATTGTGTATTCCATTGAATAATTTATTTCCTTTGCATGAAAACGACATTCTAGAAGAGGAATTGCACGTGAAATGGAATCAAATTTGTCGAATTTAAAAATAATCTCAAAGGTGTGTGAATTATAGCTGAAAATATCGAAAAACATGATCTGTTGTCTGAGAAAGATGTACTGAGAATTGTTGCGTAACTGGCAAGAAACAACCTGCTTTTGGCTCAAAGTCTGATGTCAACGTTTCAAAAAAGAGTTCACTTTCACAACTTAAATATACGAGCTAAAAAGCATGTACGGGCTTTTCCTCAGAAATATATGGGCTAGGCCTAAACACAATGAGTTGAAAATGCTCCAAATCGACCTCGAATGTCTTTGTGTCGTCATGCAATGTTCCAATTTCACTTAGGTTTTAAAAATAAAGATATTTCAAGTAAAATATAAGAAAACTATTCAGTTTAAACTTTGAAGAGAACTGCAACGAAGATCTGTTTGCACTACGGCACTTTCAAGAATATCGAATAATCTTTCGGTGGGTGGGGGGGGGGGGCTACCATTTGCAATGTACCCAGTTCAGATTTTCCTGAAAGTCAAAAGACGGTCTGAGGAACAGCGATATGCATATAAATTCGGCATATAGATATGCATATAGAAAGAGGCCTGGTGACAAGCGTCGCATCTAAGAACTTGACATAACTCAACATGCTTAAGATAGTGACTAGCAAGAGAAAGGCAAAGCGTCCTTTTGAAACACTCTTATCTCACCTTTCAAATAAGAACGGCGTACTTAGGACGTACTCCAACGTAGGGCCATTTGTTGCGGATTAATGAAGTGAAAGCTCTCTACATTGAGAACAGTGAGGGCAAGGGACTACCTCACACCCCTGCGAGAGCTTCATGACATATGACAACTGCATTTGACTGAGGAGAGGTCTTCAAAGCAACAATCAAATCCATTAAGGACACCGAGATTCACACAATTCAGCCAACCGGGACTCGCAATATGCAGGACTCGCCATATGTCTTGCAAGTGTCCAGTAAGTCAAACGAAGGAAAAAGAAAAACCTGGAACTACATTCAATTTCGACATAGGAGGCAGTTATTCGAGTCAAACGACTTCGACTCAAGTGCAGATGTTTTTAAAACAAGAACAGACAGTTTTTGCATCCCACTCATTACAGATTACAGCTCAAAATAATAATTACCTGGTGCTTCTTTCGCTTATTTCGCTGCGGACAACCTCCCATCTGCTGTTGACAATATTCACTTTTTCTCTAAGAGTGTCTGCGTCCTGCTCGGTCGATTGTGCAATGATATCTTTACAAAGCAAATTCACTGCCTCCTTTCGGGCCTCGTTCTCAGTCAGGCCTTCCTCAAGACCCTGGAATGAGAATTGTCGGTTGTTTATAATAATAAGTGGGGTTTTACACATCAAAAGAACTGTAGTCCTGAATTTACTCAGCGGTTCTTGCTCTTCATAGTGAACATTATCAAGTTATTTGTGTTTGCTGTCCTGAGGAGCGTAGATACGTTCACTTGATTAAGTAGCATGTGCCCAAGAAAGAGAACAATGGTTATATATATGGTTGATGGAAACACGACCAAGTAAATATTACAACAGTATCGTATTTTTCACTTTGAGGGAGTCTTCAACGAAAAGCGTTTCGCATAAAAGCAGCAATTTATAACGATAATGTTCTCTACGTTTGAATATCTGGGTAAAGTGTTAAAGAATGAACATTTTTCAACGGTCAGAAAATAACACTTTGGGCCGTTCTTATTGGCTTTCCACGTCATACATATTATAACCATAAATGCAAAATACAACAACGGGCTGTAAAGATTTTCTTTTTGAAAATTGATGGGTTGATCGTAAAATGTATTACATCAATGGGTTGAATTCGTTGTATCTCATAGACGATAGCTTTTAAGTACCCAACTAAGGATATTAAATCCAGATTTTTTCAAAAACCACAAAAAATCTGGCTAACTGTGTGAAGGATTTACCGAAAAAATATCACTACATGACCCGTATATGGCGAAAATACGTGTCTACGTTCGATTAAAGGGAAAGTTAGTAGCAACTAAGACATGATAAACAACAAAACGCTAAGAGCTTCAAAAGGTCATTGAAAATCGATTTTATCTCATCAAATGAAGTGCTTTATGCCCCCCAAGTAGCACCAAGATTTACAAACATGACAAAGTTTGATATCATTCCAATTAGGAAAGGAATACCAATATTTCTGGTATTGATTGGTTTGTAGCTGTGTAATGGAAGATTATGGGTCAGGAAACAAGTACTGGCCCAGTGTTCTTAAGATCAAGTACTGGCCTAACTGGTTCCCCGTATCAGAGTCTTGTAACGGAGTTTGTGACCATGGCAAATAACATCATATCCTTCCAAGAAAAAGCAGTACATTTAAATGTGTCAATATGACTTTTTTACATCAAACGAATACTGTCCAGAAAAATAGCTAAAGACGAACAAAATGCTACCCAAACCAGAACACTTTCACGCGTGCAGTCAAGTTGACAAAAAGTTAAGGATTCAACACTCCGTTGACATTATCCTGCGCTTTCTTAAATAACGAAACAGGACAATAAACAAATGCGTGCAGAGTACGACAGATAGAATGGCTAAGATGTGCAACTGCAGATTATGTACGATATTTTATCTAAAATTATGCTTTTTATCATAAATTGTATTTTGTATTCATTTTATACAAATTTGTAGGCATTATGTTTAAATAGTTGGCCTTAATTAGCTTTTAAGCTATATATTTTCAGCTGCCAACCATAAATCAAAAAATTAGTAATAATAATAAAAATAAGAACAAGACGAACCTGTTGTTCTTGCGAAGCTAGTGATTCGTTTATCTCCCCGGTTGAATATTTGGTTTCAGCCAGTTTGTTTTCTGCCTTTGTAAGCCACAGTGTGAGTTCCTTGAGATCATTATGGAATTGCCTCCATACAGAAACAGATTTGTCGTACGATGCATATCTAGCCTTAAATTCAACGTTGACGGCATTCCAGTTGAGTCTGAGTGAGTTCAGCGACACATCGATGCCATCCATATCATCTGGATCGCATTTACTGAGATACCTCTCGCGAAGGATCATCAGATTGTCAACAATGGGAGCCATTCGGTCCATGCTTTCTTCTAGCTCCTATAGAATAATAAACAAATTTATAACAGAAATACAAACAGTTGTCAAATCAAAATTTAAACTATTGGATGCAAATCCCAACTCTAAATTGGGCACAAAAACTTAAAGGAAGGAAAGATCCTCGAATGGAATGAAAAAAGAGATTGGGTACCAAACGGTATGAAGTCTACATATTTCAATGAAATACGTAAAATATTCTTAAGGAGGACACCCTGGGATAAAGGTGGCTGTTCATTGCAGGGGACTGTCCGTTAACTTCAGATGGCTTGTAAAAAGGTTTTCACCTCCAAAATATATGGACTACAGTATCAAACGGTTCTTTAGGGGTTCCGTTATTGTTGCATGTCCGGTAATGGGATATCACTTTCATGTGTTCGCTACAAACTCTCTATGCTATTGCTGAACAACTAAAATTTCATGACATACTTCGTGACTCTATCTCAATTCGACTTTAACAGCTGCATTTTGACTAAATGCATTGAACTATATTTAGATAATTACAAAAAACTAGAGATGAGCATCTATATATAAATAGAAGCAAAATTTGTAACAGTCTCAGTTAAAAGCATCTTGCAATATTTCCTTAGTTGCCAAATGCATTTTAAGCGAACAGATGGCAATTAGTTCTGATATCTATAACCGGAGCTGTTCACGATAAATCGCAAGAATAGGTCGAGATTGACGCATTTCTGCTGTTTATTACACAGTTCCATACATTAGTAATTGCAGCAGATTGCACATGAAATAATATTGTGACGTAGTATAAATAATCATTTCTGCTTACTGCATTGGGAAATGGCTGTCTTATTAAAGCAAATGCCAGCATGACAAGCCATGTTAGACGTCTGATTAAAATATGCTAACCTGACAAACATCAAATCATCCAAGTAGCATTTAACTGCAAACTTGCTTTCACGAATCAATCAAAAACTCTGCACATTTCTTCAAGGCTTTCTTCCTTCCTTATATATTCCAAGTTACACTTGGTGACAAACAGTTGAATTTTTTTTGCATGTTCTCAAACCAATGTCTTCAAATTTAACTTTTCAACATAGATAAGCAATTAAATGATAAGATAAACGAATTTTTTTCTTCTTCTCGGGAGTTCTGTATACACAAATCTAAAGCTCTCCTGAAACTCCAGCGGGCAAGTAAATTCTGACAAATAAAATCTCCCTTTGATCATTAACGGGATCAGAGAGAATAAAAACAATTCATTGTTTTTACAACGACAATAGATTTGCCATGTGGCTGTATATATCTGCATCATTAAAACGAAACTGATCGAATCAAATCAAAACAAATACCCTCACCATCGCCAATGTTTCCAGGACCAGCGCCTTTATCTAACTACTCTGATATTACAGTATGCCTTGACATGCGAGTCAGGAACGTAACTGCAAAAATCACACTACATGAGTTGTTACTCACTGAAAGCCTTGTTCTCGCTCTTATGTGTACGGCATATGGCTCTCACAACTGTTCACCAAACACATTACAACTTCCTGCCGTCTTAAGATCAAATCTCCTTGGAGTTTCAATTAATATGATTTTAAGTCCACAAGATGGTTAGAAAGAGGTGATAAGACTCTGAAAGCATTTCGAAACACCTAGAATTCCAATTTAATGGCCTTTGCAAATTTACATGCTTTTTGGATATTCTAAAACGCCTACAGAGACGCCATCTTCTGCACAGTTTCAAATGTACGGGCAACATTGGGTTTCAGTGTTATCATGTTTTACAGCATGGGTCCGTTATAATACCATAAGGATAAATTTCGTTTAAAATAAGCACTGGGAAGTTTAATGGGTGTTTTTTGATATCGCTAAAACGCTCAAGACCACAATTTTATCGTTGCACTTTCGAAGAACCTGCAGCGAATAATCACATGCATCTAGAAATGCAAGCATTGCTGCCTCTGCAATACAGACTAAACTGATATTTTCGCTTTTATTTTTTTCACATTCGGTATTTGCATGCTTGCAGATACCTTGGAGTGAGGCATAACAACAGATTAAATGTTATCCGTGTAACGCTACTGAAAACGCCAGTGCGAAAATCCGATGCTACATTTGGCGGGTATCTTATACACCTCGCAAATAAACCCCTCGCAAAACTATAAAAAATAGTAATAACCCCAGTACTGACCTGAGGTCTTGAAATGCAGTAGTTTTCGGTAAAGGCTGGTCAGGCTATAACAATCGTGTAACGCATCATGAAACTAAAGGGTTTTTTATTGATCTGGTTTGATATCTAAACATGTCAGATAAGTATCCCTGAACATATGGACATCTTGTTTAGTAAATAAGATTTGATTAATCCGTATACAATACTTCCTTCTCATCTCTTCTATTCTGTATTGCAACATTGAGTTCAAAAGCCAGGGCATAAGGCCGCTATTAAGGCAAAGATTTTGACAAACCCCCTATGCTGTGCAGAAAATGTATGAACAATTGCAAACTAGCAGGGGGGGGGGCAATGATGCTGCAAATTGTACTTACGAGTTGCAAGAATATTGTTTTGGGTAACAAAATGCAACAAAGTGTAACCGTTCCTTTGAATACCTGTGTTAAAATCTGATGTTTGGTTTGCACATTTTTTGTTCTAATGGACAACGTCTTCTGGTACTGAGCTGTGGTAACCCACGCTGACAAATTCATCAGGTACTAATAATAAAAAATCGCTCTTTACATAGCCTCTCTGTGGCCTGGGAAAATGTATGGTGCGGATATGTTCTGACAGAGCCACAGCTCTCAACACTGCCTACCTCAATCTTTTTCTCTCCCAATCAATAAGTCAAGAAATCAGAAAATAATCAACAGATGCTTTTACTCCAGATTAACTGGATGTAACAGTACTGAAAAGTGAGCCTTTGTTTGGTTAAAAGTAAGCGAAGACATTATTTAAACACGGTATACCTTGAATGAACAGGGATATGTTTTCAGCACTGGTCGTGCTCTGGCACCGTCTACAGGAGGACCATGACAGCAAGAATGATCATGGAACAGATGGAATTCAAATAGAATTAAATACCCATGCGACGGAGACACTTGGGAATTGAGTTAATGTGAAAGAAACCCGTGTTTAGGAAGAGAAAGTTACCTGCACACGTTTGCGTGCATAGAAAAGCACACAAGTATATGAGTAAACAAAAGTAAGTGAACACGAAAAAGGCCAAAGGGCGGACGGCCTTTCCAAAGTCATACGACCTCTGAGCGCATTTGTGTAATTGGATTGCATACTTTGAGATCTGTTCATCCCGGTGTTTGCTTTAATATTGCATCACTATAATACCACAGATAATACAAAACCGATGAGAGTTTAGTGATATAACTCAATTGTAAGCAGGGAAAAATTCTTTAGAATATGTGAGGGAGATCCATTGATAGAACGGGAAAAGAGGGTAAGAGGAAAAGAGGAAATGGACAGCGTAGGGGGAAATGGAAAAAGTGAAAAAATATCAATTATTCAAAAAATATCAATTTGATTATAAGTAAAAAAAAAGTCCTTTTGGGGAGCAAAAAGACAAGCAAATTTTCAGTTAACTACTAAAGGTGAAGGTGCACATTAGTAAACGCTTTTAACATCACTGGAGTAGCTAGGAGTAGCTAGGATATTCTTCTACATCAAGAGCAATGTTTCTTCTACGCTGTTTTAATGGTCTCAACTACTTTTTCTTGCATAATTCAAAGCTGAAATGCCTGCCAAAAATACTTGAAACACGGCAATCTGCGCTGCATTTCATATCTTTCATTCCTTTTCCGGAAAAAAATTACAACTTCTGCCCCCTTCCCCCTAGAACAACGTGGATAATTTAGAAGAATATTATAAAAGAAATGAAACAGAAAGTGCCTCCGAAAATCCTAACCCGTTTCATAGTAACCCAACATTGTTCTGTGGGGGAGAGGGGGTGATTGATTTTGATCTTGCACACTAAGGTCAGTGTTCCAAGACTTTTGGCAGGCATTGTACCACTAGAACTAATAACCTAGAATTGAATGTTATACATTCCTGATGTCTGCTGGCGATCACTTGATGTAAGTAAGATTTGAATGCAAAATGCAAACTACCCATAACAGATATCAATCATTTTAAAAGTGAAAATTTGGAGGTATATCGTGTTTGAATAAAGCTATTAAACACACCTTCATCTTGCGCTCACGTTCAGTGAAATTCTCGAACTCTTTTCCCACAAATACGTGATTTTCTAATTCCTTCTTGATTGCAATGACTTTGCTGTTGGTATTCTCAATATTTTCAATGTACTTCTTATGATTAATTCCACTGTCTTTATCATGTAGCGAGTAATTCTCAAACAGCCATTGAATCTCATAGACTTTGTGCTTCTTAGTCAATAGTTCTGGCGCTAGAAAAAGATCGAAAATGTTAATTCCAGAATATCATCTCTAAACACGACCTTTCGGGTTTTCAAGGCTTTTAAAATTGGTCAAATCAAGTCGATCAAGTCGAATGATTCCGTTAAAGTCTCCTTGAAATCCATCCTAAACCTTAAAGATGATTTTTCCAAGATTTTTTTTCCGAATAGAGTGGTCCTGTTTTGCTAAATTCGATCTGATGTTGGATTATATACGTAACAAAGATATTGTAAAAGTGCAAGATATCTGCAAACTTGCAGCTGAACTTTCAGTAGACCTACTAACATTGATTATAAGACCTGCAACACCTTGATCTATATTTGTCGACGGCTGCAAGTATGAAGTTTGACTTACGACTGGAAATATTTCATTTATGAAATGTAAACAAAAACGTGCTAAAATACTCCTATGAAATGTTTCAAACAACAATCCGTAGATCGAGTTCGTCTAACCATCTTCTAAATATTCTTAACTTTTATGAAAGTCACCTGTATCACAAACATGTCTGCAGCATCAAAACGTCACAATCTGCAACACTAACAAGTACTTATACAAAAGTCTTTAAAACCTAGTTCGACAGTTGCCTTAAATTTTATTATTTAATTGAAAGCTGAAATAGGCTTTATATACGCTTTATTCAAAGAGGGCAAGAAGTCGGATATTGGCGCTGAATACTCACAGAGTTCTTTAAACAAGGTGATTCCAGAGCAGGCAGATTCTTTGAGCACAGCCCCATGCTCTTTGCTAAGCCAAGAATCAATCACAAAACCATACAACTTAGCAGCAAGTTCGTCTAGCACGTAAATGCTGCTCAGGTACCAAGCTGGACTCGATCCCTCGTTGTCGTGCCAGATTCGAATTTTGCTAAGTTTTCCAAGCCAGGGTTGATCCCGGAATGTGAATACATCTACCTGACCCGGTAGGAACTTCTTTCGCTTAGTTTCTGATTGACGCAAAGCAAATTGCTCACTGTTCCCGTACTCTCCAAATAGCTTGATGTAGACATTGGCTCTTGTGTCGCCCTCAGGAACATCAGCGGTGTAAACGCTTAACTTGTATGTCGTATCTACAGAAGAAAAAAACTTACAAACAGACACCAGGTACATAATACAATCGGTATTTTGCAGATGGGAAAAAGGGGGGGGGGACTGTGTTGAATTGAAGTATGGGAAAGATCGCATATCAAGCAATCATTTAATGCTGTCTTTTTGCATATCTGTGACAATTCTGTAAGCAACATGCTGGTACACGTTTGTCATATGATGACAATCCAAAGACTAAGCATTGACTGTCCTTATATCACCCTGATATTTATCTCCTTGCAATCCTTTTCACATTTTCATTTCCTAGCTATGACTCTCGTATTTAAAAGAAGGTATACAAAAATCTGGTACTCTCATAGGCAAAATGCTTACCTTTTTCTTCTGGTTTTTTGATTTGGTAAAATCGTGTCTGAATTATTTTGAATCGCTTTCTCAATTGGTCTATCTCACTCAATGAAATTTCTCCATCTGCGCAGACTCGGCTCAACTCATCAGCGCGCATATCTACAGCCTCCATTTCAGATGCGCGTTTCTCGATATCATGTTCAAGTTCCTAAGAATTAAAAAGAATATACTAAAATCAGTTCCTTACTTCTTCTCAACTTTTAGTAACTATACCGCAGGGCGAATTGGAAAGATTTGCAAACTTCACTCTACACTATCAGAGAACAAAAAAGACTGAGCAAGAAATAATTTCGAGGTCCATCCCACTCTCTGTGGAATCTTAATTCGCTTTGGTAAGTCATTTTTTGCATATATAAAACGTCGATACACAAATTAGCGAACGTGTGTGCGTTCTGGTTCGCACAGTTTACTTAGGCTCCCACTATAACATCAAACAGTGAGCCTTAACATAAGAAGAAGACTCCACCCGACCTGCATTTAGCCAAAGTCCAAGCTCTTTTAGTAACGCCTATTAGAAAAAAGTTCAAAGGTTGAAGATAAATGCGATTCTCCGTCTACAAAATATCAAAGGCAAAATGCAGTAGTAACCAAATTACACCAACCTTCATTTTGTCTTCATCTTCTTCTCTCTCCATTGCCTTTTCAGCATCTTCAAGCCATTTTTGAATAGCCTCGAAGTCATGTTGATAACGGAAAAGCTTTTTATCAACACTTCGAAGTGTCTTTTTTCGTAGCGCTACAGTTGTGTGCGCTCCGCTGACCTTACGTGTTAACTCTTTTGCTACCTGCTGCACATCTACTGAGACTTCTGGCTCCCCTTCAACACGGTAGCTTTTGGCCTCACTCAAAAGTGCATCGACACGAGGTTGCAGGTCTTCCAAAGCTTTCTGGACGTCCTGTTTAACAAAGAATAACAAATGCTGTAAAATAATATACGAACCCAAGGACTTCTGCTTTCTAAAAGTCAGATTATAAATATTTTTGTTTTTATTCGTGTGATTAACTTTTAATTCACTATTCACTAAGAGAATACGAAGTTTACAATTTAGCTCAAAAAGTCATTAATAACATAACAGCGACCTGAAAACAGCGACCAAGAATTAAGAAACAGGCAGCTATAAATTTATACCTACAAAAGGCACCTTTTTACAAAAAAACTAAATTTAGTCAAAAATACACAGCATTACCTCTGCCTCCTCTTGTGCTTTTATGACGTCATCTGTCTTGCTCGACCTCACTTTGATTCTTATCAATGTTCGTTCAAGATTCTCAATCTCAAAAATCACTTGGCTTAACTTCATTCGTATATCGCCTTCAACAGATAGAGATATTGCTAGCATTAAGCCTTTGCAAATAATGTACGACTGAAATGCAATGTATTTTAATTAAAGGAAACGAAAGAGATTTATTACCATTTCGAAACATACTTCACTTCGTTGGGCCTTGGACTGTTTAGAGAGACTAAATATCTATGTCAACGCGGAAGCCCACCCTCTTATTAAAAGGATCAAGTGAAAGGCTCTGACTATTTGCATATTGTATACATTAATGACAATGAGTTTGCTTTAATATTTGGTGATTTAAATGCTATTAGTTTCCTGCCATCCTTCACTACAGAGCAACTTAACGACATGAACCTATGCAAAATGATTACAAGAGGCGCACTGCAAGACACTACAACAACGGTAAGTTTCAACAGATTAAGCAATTAATTTTGCTGGAAAAAACAGAACCCATTAATTCATTCGATGGATTTTAAATCTTAGTCTCCATCACTTGTGACAAAATTTCAGTTGCCTTTTTAATAACATCCATGAAGAACATACTTTTCTCGACTGTTTTGCTTGTGACAGTGAACTTCACTTCTGCGTATTGTTTTACTTGCGTAGATTCTGTCTGTCTTTTCATTACCCAAACACTGTTACTGGTGTTGGCGGACTGGTTCTGCGTCACCAACTCAACATTGATCGGCATTTCATCCACTACATCCGGTGCCGATTCAACCTCCCGCCTACTATCTGATACCAATACTTCCTCTTCGACAATTTCGATTCTTGCTGCTTTTTCTTCCTCTACAATTTTCAAAGCTGCTTTCAGCCGTTCTTCCTCTTCTTTTTCTTCTCTTTCAATTATCTGATGCACTTTCCTCTCTGTATCAGAAATCTTGAAATCAACTTTCTTCTCGAGATCTTCCCATCGTTTATACAGCTGTGTTTCGAAAGGTTGAACCAAACTTGGCTTACCACGTGTCGCAATATCGTCTCCGAGTGCTTTTAGCGAATCTAATCTGGATTCGTTATCGTCCACATCTTTCTTCAATTTCTAGAAAGTAAAGCAGATATTATGATTAGATATCAAACTTATGAGACACGTTTTACACGAAAGAGGGACCTGTGCCACCTTTGTACATTAGAAAGAAACCCTAATCAACAAACACCTTTCGATTACTAATTACTTGTAGCCTAAAATTATTCCACACTGTAAAAGGTTTGTTGAATCAGCCACCAGAAAATGAATATCGGTTCATAACCGAGAGATCCGGTTAAAATACACTGAGCACAATCAACTAATAGTTCTTGCTACTTGTTTGATCTAGGCTATTGAAAATTTAAAGGGCTGCAAATGTTCTAGTTTTCAAAAACCAGGTGTATGTTAACCTCGCCCCATTCCTCGACAGATAGAGTAATCGTATGAAACTAACGGATCATTGGCAACAGACGTTTTATCTTTTACCTTGGACGATGCAAGCCCTTAATTAGATTCATTGCAATGATATGTTTTACTCATTGAAATGTATTTAAAATTCACGATAACGTATAGCGATTGGCAGTAAAAATTTAATCCAAATAGACCACACATTAATTCGTTAAGCGCTAGGTAGGAAGAAAGATTACAATTTCTCCATAAGCTTGTGTTTAAACAAGTGTTTACCATGCAAGAAATGTAATGCAGTAATTGTAAACATAAAAATCTGTACTTAGGCTGCATGCAAGAATAACATGGGAATGTTAAAGTATTTCTAATACAACACCGGAATCCCCTTTCGTCTATCATTGACTAGGGTGCAGAAAAATAGAATGCGGGGATTGTTATAATAAAAAAGGCTGAATTCACAAAGGCTAACTTCAAAATTGGTTCGTGTGTGTATAGGGTTGTCTAATCTCAAATGAATCAAAACAGTCGGCAAATCAAAAACTTAAGAGTCTTATGAGCAGCTTTTAACCAGATTGTGGAAGAAACTTTGCTATCAGTTGGAGATTGACTTCAATATGATGACAAGGAAACCACAGTAATTGAAAATCAGGGTGCGATGTTTCGCACTACTGTGCAAAGCTGGAAAGCATTCAAAGACCTAGCTTTTGAAAGCAATAAATTCTGAGCAGACAATGCTTTAAAACATTTTTGGAAAGTCGGTTGCTTGCAAAGTATGCAAATTATGGATAAATATAATAGAAGAGGTTCCAAACCTAAATTTGTATTTGCGAAAAAAATTGGAAGATGTTATACAGTCCTAACAAGAATGATTTTATCTTGTTTTCTTAAAACAAAGACTGAAAACTTATAGCTAAGAAAATAGTCTATCCCTTTTTCAGATTCCCAATTGCAGTACTCTCAGATCGCCAATCACTATGCTGCAATAAAAACTTTCAACAGAACCTGCAAAATGCGAACTTTAAGGGAAACGATTAAAGTAAACCGTTAAACTGAGGGCTCGTTTAACCGGAGCAAATTGTTAGGCAAAATTGAAGGGCCTAGATGTTTATTTCGCCATGCTGAGAAAGTCTTAAATCAGAGGTTCATTATATCGGAATGCCAGTATGCTGACGCTAAAAGTATTATTAATACAATAATGAATTTCCTGTAACATTTGGCCGTATTCTTTAGCCATTCTTAATCACAAACATTGGGATTCCTTATCATGAAATCTACGAAAAGGCCTTCGTCATAAATGTGAAGTGCACTGATTGTAGTATCAACAATTCAAACGAAAGATGCAATACAAATGGACTTACACGGCAAACACTCAAGCCATCAATAAAACCTCTAGACCATACAAAGAATCGAAGGCTACCCTACCTTTAATTCATCCAATTCTGCTTCCAGGTCGTGCCGGCTTTCTTGGTATCCCAACAGATCAACAGATTTTTCCATACTGTCAATCCAGACGTTCAAGTCATCAACATTCCTCTCATAATCGTCAATTACTTTCAGCCATTTCTGAAGCGTCTCGAGTCTTTCCCTAGACTCCTTTGTCAATTCCAGCCAAACACTGTAAATATTATCAACCTTCGATTCAAAGGCTTTAAAAGGCGCGGCCTCACATTTCGTCAGAAGCTCCTTCGTATCTTTCTTCACTCTTTCTACCGTAGGACCATGCTCGTTAAGGTCATCAATTATGTTCTGAGGATGGAAATAGAATCGTTGGTATTGAGTTTATCAGCCAAAGATTGGAAGGTATTATTTCTTAGGATAAAATTCAGGAATAAAGCAAAACGGCGACTAGAATCCAATGTTATGCGATGAATTTTCAAAATAAATTAAACTAAACGAATACTAATATTTTGCCCCGGTATACTGGGCTCCATCAGAGTAAATGAGAATTGTTTCTGAATTTTATCCTCGTATTTATATTATACTCATTGCAAGATTCACAGAATCCGGCGGACAGCCTATCCTGCGGTTCTTCCTTCTCACACATTACTTCTTAGAATGTGGCTGGTGTCAATTTGCCTTGAGCTTAGTTGGCTTGTGAAGTGGTTTATTACTTCAAATTGTTTCAACATTAAAATGATTTTAAAATAATAATGATTAGATTATGAAGTATAGGGGAGCTGTTAACAGGGTCTTGGGATGTCCACCCTTCCTCAGTATAGCTAATCTCGTGCTTTTCTGTGCGTGAATATTAAATACCGTTCTGCCCAATAACTCCTTAGATAAAAAGCATTTTTCTGCAGAGAACATAGATATGCAAAATTATTGTAACATTTACACAGATTTTCAAGTCAGGTATTAAATGAATAGACACATTTTATCTTATCGTATGTTACGTTTTTGAGTTTCTAAAAAGTAGCTCGGTGAGTGCTAGTCCCGAGTTTAGTTTTCTGTTGAAAGAATGCGTGAGTCAATAGTAACCTTAATTCGTTCAATCTCTGGTTCCGGGTTTTCTGGCAGCTCCACCGATTCCTTCCGCAATTCAACGTTAACTGTTTTTATCCACTGGTCTAAATCGTCAAGGTCTGCCTCAAGAACTTCAATAATTTCCAGTGCGGCGGCGAACAGCTAAAACATAGAATAAAAACATAGCAAAGACAATCAAACACAGAACAAGTAGAAGGTTTCAAAAAATCCATTTTCAACAAAGAAAACTAAGGAAGCAGGCCTTTAAAATCAATGTATCAGAAAATTCAAATTTTTGCTGAAAAGAAAAAAAGAATAACTACTGTCGCAATATAACAATTTTTTAGAAATGCTTTATTTTACGAAGACAGGTATCAACCCAGTGGTACCGTGAGATTTTTCGGGGAAGGGGGAATAAGCCCGCCTTAACAGGCCAGTATATGTTTGGTAGAGCGAATTCCTTACTTGGCAATGCAAAGAACCTCCTTATTATGTTATTGAATTTCAATCAATGAGTAATTTCTACTAGCGAATGTAAGTATATAGGGTGTGACAACGGGTGTGGTCTTGGATTCACGACGCTCCCTACAGCACAGTTTCCCTTCTCAAACTTTTAAGGACGGCACCCCTGTATCAATTTACCTTTCTCTTATCATCCATTGTCGTTCCAAGAAGCTTGTGCTCGTTCTGAACTTCATTCAAGCTCCTTTCGATGGCTCCTTTCTCATCTCCTGTTTTCGCCTTGATTTCAGTTCCAATTGATCGAAGTTTCTCGATGTCTTGAGCTATTGTTTCATAGATTGTTTTGTAATCCTATAAAAAAGTAAACACCGCAAAATAAAACAGTTTCACCAACAACTTGCATTTACTTTTGTTCTAAGCAAAAATTGCAGTTTGCACTTTGAAATGCTTTAGGTGGCGATTACTTTAAAATATACTTTAAAACAGTTAAGAATTTATGTGATATTGACAATTCTTGTGTTAGTAACTTCTTAGTTTTTTCGTCTTCGCGAGAATTCAGAGTTGTTTTGCATGACGTACCAATTTTTCTTCAGCAGCATTATTAAAAACATCCACGTTTTAAATGAGAGACATTGCGTGCGCATTTTCTTTATTGATAAATAATGAGGTTGTGCGCGTTGTACGTTGAAAATGAACAAAATTTGATAAAATAAATTGACTAACCTCTAAGTCATTCACCAACGACTGAATGTCTGCAACTGTTGGCGATTCCAGTTTCAATTTCTTTATGCTTCTTATTATATTGTCCATTTCAGAAAGGATATTGCCATGCAGAGAGACAAATTTGACCTCCAGATCCTTGAGTGGTCTTTGTTTAACTTCTTCAAAAAGCTTGGTCACTTCTGCCCATTTCACTTTGATCGCCTTCAATTGTCCTTGCAATTTGTCATGTCTCTCAGGCTTGCCAGTCTCCGTTAGCTCCTTCACAGTGTTCTCTGCCGACTGTAACATGGTCTGGTTCAACGAAAGCTCTTCCCGCAAAGTCTGCAAAGAAATTAGATGTCAATCATTCACATTTGCGGATACAATACACACTTGCATCAAAAAATGCGAGAAGGACAAATAAAACTAATTGGCTCACTGTTTGGTAAAGCAACAAATAACCTATCATTTAAAAGAAAGTCTTTAAAACTTGACTGATGCTATGAAGACTTACAACATTCACTGCCTTTGCAGATACCAACAGCAACCTTATTATTTAGAGCCTTAGAAAAACAGAACCTTATTAAGACTGTTACCTTTAACAATTGTAAATGTCTGATTCATCTATGGGGACTGGAGGAATAAAACACCTTCCTTCGTAGTACTAACAACATTATTGCTAAGTTCGAAGCCAAGTAAAAACGCCTCTTATCAATGACATATTCGTCAATAACAAATTCAATAACAAACTATAGAACTAAGAATATTAACTTCAATCTTCGCATTACGATACGATGACTAGCGTGGATGAGACTCAATATTTTATTACATTTCCAAAGCTTCACAATACCTTCAAAAGAAAAATATAGACAAGCAAAGAAGATGAGTTGCTAAACGGAAAAAAGTAGTACTGTTTCCATTCATTAAATGGTTACACAAAAAATCTAACTCTCTTCAATTAACATGTTGCAATTTATTTCATTTCATTTTTTAGAACTCGGAAAAGCAACTTAGAACCGTCTTTATCTATACAGCAAAAACGCCTACAGCTTTGTCTATACGGCATCGAGCACTTTATGACAGACCGGTAAACAGTAATATTCATTTCATTTTTAAATATTAAAAACGAAACACTTTTAAGCAAAAAGCTGAATCGTGAAATAAACAATGTGTCTAAAGACTTTTTATCAATCGAATTATTTTCTAGCAAGAAAAAGTCTTCATAGATATAGCAATTTTTCGATGGCGATTAGTTTGCCTAAAACGAATTGTTAAGACTTTTAAAATCTAACTTACGATTTGCAACAAAGTAAAAGAACTTCAACTCCAAGTTACTAAACCTCCTTTCAAAGAATTTTAAATCGCCGCAAAAAGATTTGCTCCGAACTTCAACACCGTAGAACGACTTTTGGCGAAGTCCATTTATGAAAAACATGAGCAAACAATGCAGTTTCTTTAAAAGACAACAGTTAATCTTTTTGTCTACGTGAATAATTGATGACAAATGCCAGATTTTTCCCGAAAAGTGCGAAACTTTCCACCACACCCTTTTAAAACTTTCATGTTTTGATAAAATTTACTTGGATATGGTGGAATCAGCTATGATTGTGGAGCACAGATGTTCCTGTTTCCAGCAGCATTGGACTGAGACTGCTGCGCATGCATTCAATAAATCAAAACAATACAGCTCTCTTACATAGGTGATTCCATGAGGAAAATGTACAGCCGTACCAGTGCTGCGAAATGGCAGTAAAAAAGAACAGAATAAAATGATTCTTAGAACAAACCCAAAATGTCATTTGCTAACATTACGTTTTATGTGACATTTAACTAATAAAAAGATACCTGAGAAAGAACCTACAACAAGGACAAAATGATGTTGAAATTTCTCACCCCTTCCCTTCCTTGTTACAACATACTAACGAATAGGGTAGGGTATGATCCGTTGCTTTAACAATCAAGTTGACAGGTACTTGCTTAAGCAATTGTACCCGTAGCTGTGTCTCCGAATATAGAAATAAGAAAATATTTGAAAATAAAGGTAAAAGAGAGAGAGAATGTATAGATACTCTACGAACAAAACGTTTTTGACCAAAACGCCCGTAACACATTAAATCTTCAATTGGCATTCTTTGTATAATAAAAAAAACTGAATTCGGGGTATGTGGCCAGAATGCCACCCAAAACAAGGTAAACCAATGAAATCTATGAGACAGTACCTCATTGAAAACTGTGTCCTCTTCAGCAGCCCCCGTGACTTTGAATGAAAGTTCTTTTTCGCTTTTCTCTAACCAAGTTTGCAACCACATAAGATCCTTGGTCAACTGCTGCCTCTTCATAAGTTCTCCTTCCAAAATATGTCTAACCTTATCACCACGCTCAAGAGTATCGGTGAGTCGAGAATTGTACTGCTCCAATGTTGCGTTTGCAGATTTTGTACCGACTTTTCCACTTGAAATTCTTTTTACCAGAGGCTCAACAGACATGGCTTTGTCTGACCTCAACACTTTGTATTGAGTGTTAAGGCTCTAACAAATAAACAAATACATATATCAAAGAATTACAACCAGAGCATTGAAAAGCATAATTTTACTGCTGTGATATTGACATTAGTATTATCCGTATTAATGGCAAAAACGGTGCTGAATTCATACGACCGGCGCCTGATATTCATTGAGCAAATTGAGCAAAATAACTGTAATTCTTAATTGCGTCATCTATTAGAGACATTTGAATGGTGACGAAAAATATGCAAAGTAATTACTGTCCAGTTTTTGCCGAACTTTTTGAAAGATATAGAAGATTTCAAATAATATGTCTTAAAATACACACAGGTTATACAAAGACAACATCTCAAACTTATTAAAATAACAATTGTAAATTCACTCCTAACCGCAGTCATACAATTATGCACAAAGAATCTCAACACACAAGTTGCTTAATTTGAAAAGAGAAAATAAAACAAGGCTTAACAGTTTGCCTTGGTGCATCCTACTGCACTCCTTTCCAAATCTTTCACTACTCTTGTGCATAAAATTTCATGGACATAAAAAGTTTTTCATTGCATTGATGAACGCAATTCTACTTCCTTCCTACTTAGATTATATTAGGAAACAGTACATATAAGATTATCCTTGGTCTACTTATGAAGAACAAACACATGGGGAGGCAACATTAGCGAAGCGGCTTACATTCAAACATGTTTCCAGATCATGTTCGTCTCCATCCAATGCATCTGATGACTTCGTAATGCAATCATCTATATCGTCCATCACTTTATACAATTCAGCTAGCAAACCATGCAGCTCTAGAAGGTCTTTCAAACCTTCGTCTAAAATGTTCTTCATATCGAGTAATTGGCCTTGGACATTTGAGAACGATTTCTTCAGCTTCTCAAGCTCTTTGGCAATTGGAGAGCTGGATCCAGCCGGAGCACTTTTAAGAAGTTCTTTTGTTGTTTCCTCATGAAGCCTAATGTCGTTTTCTTTTCGCTTAAGCATTGTGATTGCTTCCTGTAAATAAATAAGGTATGGCATGAAAATGCATGGCATTGAAACGTAGCATCTTCCATAATTTCAATCATTATTGAAGAGATTTTTCAACAGCTTTATGAAAACTTTTTCTGATCAAAAGTGAGAAATGAGGATGTGTGAATGGCTCAGTCGTTAGGGTCGACGACAACAGGTCTAAGCATCTTGAATTCGAGTTCCTACACTACCAAGAAGAAGCTTCTACAAGAGTAATTTGGTCGCCAGCAGTCTGCAACTCCAGGCGTAGGAATTAAGAAGTGTGGACAAATTAAGATGAAATCGAAGTCTTTAAAAATATATTAAAATGTCTATCAAAGGCCTATTATGCAAAAACAAGTTTTTATATAAACTGGAAAAGTTTTCAAAATTTCGATACGTCAATAATGCTGCTTAGAACGAATCAAACAACAAAATGTCACTTGAAGCTTCTGCTAATCAGAGCAAGTGCAAAATAGATGAGTATAGGTTGGCAACATTTGTGCATGAATATCACCATGACAACGACAGAAAGCAAGAAGACAGTCCTCATCAAAGAGATTATTACCAGATTACGAGCTGGAATAAACACTGAATAAAATTATCAGGTCAAAGTAAAGCGTCATTATATAAGAAAAACATTCATCACAAGAGAAAACAATAACTTTTCGCGAACTTGACACTATCCTTTCTTCTAGTGCAAGACAATTAAACAGATCCATCGAGAAAAACCCCTTTCAACCCCTTACAGAAATCCCTCTCTTTCAATCATAAACCAGAAACGAGGCAAAGATTTGTTACAGCCTCGAAATCGCTATAGAGCCAAATTCTATAACCACAACGTAAACATACTCACATCCATGGCAGTTTAGCTAAATTACAGCGCAGTCAGCTGTAGTTTCAAATAAAAGGGCACGCAATCATTGGAGATTGATTGTCAACCAGCATTTGGATTCCCAAAAGACTAAGCAGGAACCTAGAATTGCCAAATCCTAACACAACAACACTTGAACATGATGTGACGTGCCACAGTAACGGCAAGCATCCCTAGTTGCACACTTAAATTGCGCAAGGGATATAGCTTTGAATCATATTGTAACAGTTGTGAATGAAATTTAATATCTTGTCATATGTGGTCAGTCAATAACACAAAGACCGCAGCCACTTCTTCTTTTTGAACAAAAGATTACACCTAAATCTGACATTCCTAACAAACTTTGCAAACCAACGATTGATCGAATCCCACCGTATACTCACATTTAAATTACTTTCTCAAATTACTTTGGCAAATTCTCAAATAATCCTTGTCAAATGGATTGCTTCACAAATTCATGCCGTGACATGAAACATTTACAAACATAGGTGGGGTTCGTAGAGCAAGCTAGAAAATCTTGAATCAAGAAACTTAATGGAACGCGGAAGTCAATTAAGCTGGAATTGCGAGACAGTTCGGTCAGAAAAGCATAGCATCAGAACTCGTCAAATAGATTTTTTCTCTAATTTCCACCTAAAGATCGCAAACAACAAACATTACAACGAAGAAAGAAAACAATGAGTCAAGAACAGAAGATATAGAGAGTGATGTTCAGATCATTGAAATCATCATGATTAGGTATCATTGACATCCATACAGTCATTAGAATCGTCAACTATAGTTACGATTTGTGAACGAGGCAAAATAAAATTGCGACGTAGCTAAACACAAAAAATATTTGGCTGTCAAGAACATTTCTTGAAGCGAATTTCAGGCAAAAAAGATCACAAGAAAGATTTTGACAACACTCAGCGAGTAAGATACATCTCGAAATCTATAAATAGAAAAAGCCAGTTGCATATTTTCGAAAAATCATGTTTAGAGAGAATACTTGACCCAAGCATGACATTTTGGTAGGGCAATGCATTTGTGATGCCCATTTGTTTTATAGTTAGATATAATTTAAGTTATTCAAGTTCTCAAGCTAAACGATCGTATACATAAAAATACCTTAATAGTCTCAGCACTGGTCTGCGCCGTCGTAGAATCAAGCGCGGCAAGGTCTGTTTGCATAACAGCATCAAGAGACTTCAAATAAACATAGATCTCCTTTATCCCTGAGTCAACGACTTTAAATTTGTCAAGGCCGCTCTGTAGCTTTGCCTTTTCTTTGTCCGTCTTTTGCACTATGTATTCCCATCGTTTGTTCATGTCAGTAAGTTTTGAGTTGAGAACATCCGCATACGTTGGCTCCGCGCGGTTCATCATGTAGGTACACGTTTCTATCAATGAGTCGACCTTCTTCTGCACTGTAAGAATGTCAGACTGCAACGCCTAGGAATGAAAAATGTTATCTTTAAAGGACTCACAAGGTTTTCTAGCCTTTAAAATCACAACCCAGAAATATTGTCATTTATTTCGCGGCGATTATCAAATGCCATGGTGTACTAGCGAAAATCATAAATGATTGATGAAAGCTACAGCATTTGGGATGCCCGATAGTACACCCATACTCCTGGAATAGCAAGCATTGCATATCTTTATTCTTGGAATAACCACGATCAAATATCCTTATCAAATATAATGTTTTTCGGAAAGAGCAGCAGAAAACCTCCTTTTTCTTGGAAAGAAAAACATAATATTTCCTTATTCTTTAATTTAAAGAAAAACTTAATATTTCCTTATTTAGATAATCCTATATTTCAGGAATTAAATACTACAAAATTTATTCTTCTGTTAAGAAACTACTTTCTCAGCTTGAACATACCTCTACTTCCTCAACCTGAGACTCGACAGCCTCCGTGTCACCTTCGGCAATCGTACTGGACAAATCAGCAAGGAATTTGTCAACATCGTCCATCCAGTTGAACGTCTCCTTCATCGCCATCTGCAGCTCCTTTGTCTGTGTGATTGCGTCTCGTATCCTTTGCAGACGCGCTTCTAGCTTCCCTTTGACTTCAGACCAAAGACGCATCAGTTCATGTAATTGCTTTTGTAATTTCGCTGATTTCTCTGGGCTAAGATTCTTTAGCATTTCATTCTGCTTCTTGTTCAAGTAGCTTAGGTTGGACTCCTGGTCTCCTACTTTTTTCTGCTTCAACTGCAAGATACGAATAATGATATTGATAATATTTGGTACGATTATAGAGCAATCAATTTGTGCTTACTCGAGAAGGGTGTGAGAGTTCTTGTACAGCACCAAACATTTATTTTTTTATTTTTTATCTTTACCTTACCAGAATAACTTGTATATTAATTTTGGTTTAACTGTTATTTAATTGTATGTTAATTAGCTTAGGTTTTTAGACAGGGCACATTGTAAATCAGTTGTTATCTTTTCATTAATGAATGTATTACCCTGTATAAATAATTAAAAATCAAATCAAAGAAAGTACTCAAATGTTATTTGTCAAAGCTATCAAGACGTAAATATGGAAACATCGAAGCAATCATCTATAATAAATTATTTAAAAACTAAAAAGGAAGACAACCTTCATTTTGAATAACCATCAAACCTGTGATCTCAAAAGTGCGTTTATGCTCATCAGTATTGATCGTATATTTCAAAGAAAAATTATACAAAAAAATATCATTACTGATGACTTGTGAATTTTGATATTTTACTTATTGGTTAAAGATGAACTACCTTCGCGGCATTAAGAAGATGTATATTACCTTGCAAGCTTCCATCTGGTCTTCCAGACGCGGCAATTCTGCATATTGGAATTCCTTTGTCACCATTGGTAAAGCATCATCGACAGCAACCTTGATGTCAACGTATCGTTCTTGGTACTCTGGGGGCGGAGTTGATTGTATCATTTCAATAGCGTGGGACTGCTGTTGTTGCAATGTTTGATGGGCTGTTATAAACCTCTGTTTGATTGTCTCGACTTCTCTTACAAGAGCCAACCGTAAGGAGTCGTCTTCGATGTTTCTTGCTTGAGATTGGAGAGATTCTAATGCTTTCATGTGGGTTGACAGCTCACCAAGTTTGAGCTGAAAGAGAAAATAGGCATTCGTCATACTCTGTGTTTCAGCATTCATCATACTGTGGTGGGCGATAGCGAGCAGCTGCTACGCATTATTTTCTTACAACGAACATGAACTTGCTTTGGTAAGCACAAAGAATTGCAAATATTAGGTAGAAGCTGAAGATGAAAGTAGTATCAAAACATAGCAATAAACCAAGGTGCGTATAGGAAACATTAGACTAACTCTTGCAAAAATACGAGGAGATAATGATTGCTTGGATAACTAGCCCTAGAAAATTTTAAAAGCATTGTGACATTTCGTATAAACAGACTTTGACGTGGCATTAAAGAGATAAATTAATAGGATTTTATTTTAACGGAGTTTTTGATTCAGATAATCAAGCATATGTGAAAAAATCTAGTTCCAATGCACAAGCAAATAGAGATTTTAAAATATTTTATTCTTTGTATAAACAATTCTTTGAACATCTTAAAACTTTCAAAAGGCCCTGGAAATACCCGACAGATTAGGGGCTCGTTAGCAAAATCAACAGTTTAATATACAAGTAACAGATATATACTGCACTCCCTTCCCACCGCAACAATTTTAGCCGAAAAGCATTATTGAAGAGCAGACAGCTCCGAAAATTTAATTAAACTGCAACGAGAGAGATGATATTAGAAATTCGTTAGAATCTATTGTATATTATTCGTCAAACCTTAATCTGCTCTGACTGATATTGCGGATCCTTCGAATGTTCGATTATTATCGTCTGAATCCAGATTTCGATTTCGGTTACAACTGTAAGTATTCGCTTTGTTTCGACTTGAAATTTCCTTTTCTTTTCAGCCAAGGCTAGCCTCTTGATCTGCTTGCTAATGAGGACGCACAGGGCACTCCATTTCTCATTCAAACTGTTTATGCATTGCTCCAGACTGACTGAAGCTTGGTTGTTTGCTTTAAGCTCAGTGACAATCTCTTCGCCCTTTCTTGATATTCCTTCTATGGATGTTGCTCGGGTCTTGACTGCCGCGTCTAAAGACTGGGGTTTAAAAACGGAATATCAATTGACAGGTTTATGTAAATTGTATTCAATGTATATCCTGCTAACAAAAACAAAGTGCACAAAATGAAACGAATGTAAGATTATTTAATTCAGCAAAATAAATTGAGCTTTTCCGTGAGTTTCTTTCCTCCCAATTTTAGAACATGATAAAGATACAAGCCACGCAAAAGAAAGAAATGAATTAAATAAAAGAAAAAACATGAATTAAAGTAATATGAAAATTGTTATGGATAAGCATCTCTACTTAAAGTCATTATTCAAAAGCAAACTTCTCTGTAAAATTGATAAAAAATCGACAATGAAAAGACAGATCACTAAATTAGAAAAAAAAATTGAGAAAAGTTTTACAAACTTGGCAAAATGCAAAATCATCGTTGAAATCTCTTACGAAACAACAGTTAAAGTGTCTAAACACAAATTCGAATCGAAAAAGAACAAACTTTGCAATGAACGTGAAACAGAAACCCAGAAGCAAAAGAATCCGAAACAGGTGAGCCCGCGCTCCATATAGTTAGTGCGTCATTCACCGTTGGTTCAGCAAGAATGCATGCATCTTATATAGTAAGTAGGTGGTGACAGTGTCACGTGATTAAGTAATTCAGGCTCGGAAAGAAAGCAATAATTAGACATTGTTAAGTACAAACACGACAATTCTGCGTGGTTTGCTCGCTATATTAACGTGGACCAGGCTTTACGGGGGTACTTCTGTACACGAACTGGTTTGGTTCTATTTCTAGGTGACGACAAACTTTCATGGAGCAGGTGAATGGACTACTAAGAGCATAATGCTTCTAAATGGCTTTGAAACAAGCAAACATTTCACAACATACTTTAAGCTGTTTTGTCTGACACTCCTCAGAGCATAAAACGTCAGAATAAGGGTCCCAAAGAACACGATGGAAAATGTATACCCAGTTGTGGATCGAATAAGCCAATCAGAAAAATGCAAGTATATGACCGGTATAGGTATCCTTAAATGAAATCAGGCCAACTATTAATAAGAAATCAAGATCCTTTATATACTCTAGCAAAAAAGTTTCTCTTGTACTTGATACCATGTTACTCATATAGAAGAATAACAACTTTAAACGTTTTGAAATGGATGGATGTACATACAACGTATTGGCCCGGGTGTAAAATGTACACTGAAAGTGATATCTGACACTTATGTGACACTTATGACGACTCTATATGTGAACAATTTGAAATTACACAAAATTAATATACCTTAACATATATATCTTATATAAATTCAACAGCTCCTAACTTAAAAGTTTTTTAGAATATCAAATAGATGCTCAATAAAAAACAAACTATACAGCCTTGCCATTCTTTCATTCGTGATACACAAAAAAGTCTAAATTTGCTACTACGTAGATTCAGATGAATAGAAAATCATCGGTACACCTGTCTCGAAATTGAAATATGGCTTGCGACTTCAACGCTAATTTTTGCAGGAGGCGATTCAAAATTCATTCATATCGTTTCTTCGTTCGGCTACAACTTTGAATGACGTGAATTACACAGGGCAGGTGCATTGGATATTCTATTTCGAATAATGAAATTTCATGAATAAGCATAAAAATGAATGACTTATTAGACAGCTATGAATGAAGGCCGATGATCAAAACAACCTTTTTTACGACGAACAAAATTCACGTGACGATTTCGTAAACTGCTTTGTGCGTTTCATAAAAAGAGACTTCTTCGAAAAACAACTAGAGATAGTTCACTGAAAAAAACTCCCGAAAGACAAGTCTTTATCGACTATTCAGAAACTTCAAAAAGAAAATCGAAACACGAAACGTTGCTCGAGAAGAGAAAATAATGAAAATACAAATAGAGAAATGAAATAAAGTTATTACAGAAAGTTATCAAAATGTATTATGTTCTTTTTGAAGTTTCAAAAGCAAAACTAACTTTAGTTTCATCTTACTGCAACTACAACAAACTTACTGCAACTGAAAATGCACTTACAATGCATAATGAAATCAAAAAGACACTGCATGGTTTGACTAGCACGGTGTAACGTAAAGAAAATTTAAAAAAATTGTATCCCATACACAGCCACTAATACTTAAACCCGGGGACTCACCAAATTTTGATTCTTAGCAAAATATGAGCATACCCTGACTCAAGCATGTTAACAAATCGGTAAAGCAAATCAGATTTATAAAAACAGACATCGAAAAACTAATATAAAGATTGGGAGATAGTTACCTCGATGAGGTCTTTATGCTTTTCCATGTGATCAGATGTCATGACTGGTTTCAGCAAAACCTCGTTATCGCTAATCCACGTGATGCTGTCCTCGTACTCGGTTAGGAACCTTCCAAGAGGCTCTTCGATGCTTCGCAGCTGCAAATTGAGAACAGAATCAAAATTGAAACGTAGCTGTAAACATATAAACAAGTACTGAAATACAAAAAAGAAGACTGCAAAGCACCCAACTCAATCCTGCTGACTGTTTTACTGTCTAAGAAAATCGAAGTTTTATTCTTCCTTCAAAATTTCTCGCTTCAAGTAAAAACCAATGAAGCCTACATCGCGAAATCCGTTTTCATGGCAACGAAATCTATCCAGCTTGGATAAGAAACGTCCTCTCTCGAGATTATCTTAAATAACTGTGATTAGAAGGTTGGAGAACAGCTGACAAGAATACATTTGTTTAAAATAGCGCAAATGTTCTAATACCAACGTTGACTTATTTCGCAATGCAACTTAGAACTATGAATAATCCGTCTTTAACATAATCAAGGGTTGTTTCCCGTGCAAACAGTGACAGCGAGAAAATTTTGGAAAATAGAAGTAAAATAGAAGCCTTATCCTTATGGAAGCAACGTAACGTTATGATCGAAAAATTAGTTTAGGCCTTGTTCTAGCTACAGATAAAAATTGTGCGAGAGGAAGAAGGCATAAGGTGCTTATTGAAGGCATTTGTCAACAAAGCTGGAAATAGAAACCACGTCTTACATACGCCTCCGCGTTCAATTGTTTGAGAGATACAAAAATCAGTCTTCTTAGCAAGTTATTGGATCGCATTGAGTCGGTCATATTCAAATATTGTTCAGCTTTTCAATACTTGATTAGGAACTGTGAGAGTTGAGCATTTTCACGTAGCACACATCAGTTTAAAAACATGATCTATTCTTGAATCATTCTCAGTTCAACCAACAATCCAACTCGAATTCCTCGTTTAATGATTTCGATCACCAACAGTTCATGATTTTCAAAAATTACATGAACAAAACATGATCTATTTTTCACAGCTTCTTTATAAATTCCCCAGCAATCGTAACTCATAACTGAAGATCTAGTGACAAATAGTTGTTCTATACAAGAAACATTTGAAGACTTTTGAAGACTTCTGTATTTTAGCAATGAAAGTAAATCAAAAGCAATATCAACTTTGAGTATGCTTCTAACAACCCTATATAGCCTGCAACTTAATCAAATTGTTCATAAGACTTATTCTAATATCAAAATCAAGACTTTTCATTCAAAATCGTCATCATTCATTCAATAAAGTAGATGGGACGATAGCTTCAAATGAAAGATGAACTTTAATGATTCTAGCTATAAAACACAAGTGCAAACGAGAGGGAAATTTCGAGGCATAAAGAGCCTACAACTAACACATGCAAAATCAAATTAAGCATAGTGTACAATGAAAGGAACTACAACTTTGCTTCCAAAAGCAATGGATTCTGTTCTTAACTGTCTGAAGGTCAAAATTACGCATTCAATTTCATTAGAATCTTGTAAATCAAATGATACATAACAATACAATACGAGAACAGTAAAACACGAGACTTTGCATTTCTACTGCTCAAATTCTTCTAGGCATATCTTACTATTAGAATCACTCACCAGCCTGACTTTACTATTTAAAGCACTAGCAATATTGTTCCATCTTTTGTTGAAGGCCTCCATTGTGTCCTGAATCTGTTGAATAGCAGGTGATTCTTCGTCGAGATTCGTAGCTACTTGCTGTGCGGCCATGTTAAAGTCGCCAAATTTCGACTGCTGTGCAGTAAGCTCTTGCTCTAATAGCTACACAGGAGAACAAGAAAATCTAAATTACTTATCGGGATTTAAATTTTCTCTCGCCATTTCCATTTCATGTAAGCAATGTTACTGATGTATGCGATCAATGCTTAAATTAACAAGACGTATGCATTTGATTAACAAGAGACAAGACTTTCAATAAGACTTTTATACGTTTTTTCTGTAAAATTGGCCTTTGGTATGGTACGGACTTGGGGGGTGGGGGGCAGATAGAGTGTTTGGGATGATAGAACAGTAGTGAGATCAAATCAGGTTCTGACCACTAGTAATTGTTACTTTCATTACAGCAAAGGGGTGAAATGACGCTTGGCGTAAGTTAGACTTCATTCTGTAACTCGATAATATAAAAAAATCTGTTTATATCTTGCTTTTCTTAGATTTTCTATACTTTTCTTAAATCAACTCTCATGGTTATACTTTTTCATTTGTTCCGCAGATATCATATAATTGAAGGCACAGAGTCATGTCACATTGGATTGTTAGTTTTTCTCGTTTATGTTCAAATGTCTAGATTATACTTTTCCGCATTGTTGACTATGACAGAACCCTGTGAAATTACAAAATTAGATCATATTACATACAAACAGTTCTTTCAAGATAACTCACTATTTTAGGAACCTTTATATAGAAGAAAACTTGTGACCAATAGCGATTGCTAAACAAAAATTCAATCACGCCTTGGTCTAAACTCGCTTTCGACACCCCAACCATCCCCTCATCCCCGAGCTCTTCCCCAGTTCTTGCCAAATTAACTACACTACATTCGATAACCAATCAGTACATATAAGAACCAACCTTCAATTGCTGTAACTGCAATGACACAGTCATCTTGTCGCCGAGGTCTGTTTCTGATATTTCTTTTAGGTTACGCTCTTTCTCTCCAAGCCACTCACTCAGACGTCGTTCTTCAGATCTGTATGATTGCCAGTTGTTCAAAACATCTTGCAGCAGAGCCCATCTAAAACAAACCGAGATATACTAACATCAGGCAACAGACCCATATTTCGACAGAATAAGGTTATAATTTTAATCTAAACTACATGAGAAAAATTATGCCCCTGATATGGAACACAATCGTGAGGCTTTATGAACAAAATCATTTATATTTCTCAAAATAAAGATTTCAATTATCCACAAAATATGCTAAAGAACTGGACCTTACTAATATATCTCTTTTGTATATATTTCATTCAGCTTTATCACTTACTTGATATTGCTACCAAAACAGTACTAATTTTCATGAAATCTTAGTCAACTGCAATTAAATAAATAAACATTCCAGCATTCCACATTCCATGTTTTCAGATTAGCCGATAGGAATATTAAAAATAGCCTGCGTGCAGTTGACACCAGACGTACCGTTGTTCGGTCCATTTGCAAACTGCAGACCAGCGTTCACCCAGAACTGCTAACTGCTCCTCCAGATCAGCCGTCGCATTCTCATTTTCACTCTCGTCAACAACAACAACCATGTGACTTAAAGAATTGACATGCTGTTGCTGAAATTCCAAGTCCTCCTGAAATTTCTGTTGAAAAAATTAAAATTACTAGATGAACTCGCTATCAACATATTTGAAAACATGTAACTCTTTACATAGATGAACTTTTGTTCTATTACCCCGACCATAGTAAAAATTTCCTAAGAATGCTGAATTCTTAACAAAAAGCTTCTTAAAATTTGATCACTAAATGCTAGATAGGACAACCATTTAGATGCAAACAAAAACAAATATGGACCTTGTGTTCTTCGACTTGGTTTCTTACAGCTTCTAAGTCGGACCCAATCGAGGCTGACTCTTCCATTCTCCTTTCGGCGGTAGAGAGCCAGTTTGCTAGTTCTCGTAGTTGCTGCTGCTGTTGGGCCATCAGGGCTTGGTGCAACCTTTTCAAGAAGACGATATCAAATTATGAGTGAATACTATGGTATAAAACTGTAATTAGTGATGAATGGGGATCATCGTCTCATAAACAGGCAAGCATTCAACAAGCCATCATTGATGCTGTAGTTGTATATTACTTAAGAACGAAATTGAGGTCAACAAGAAATGGAAAAGAGCCAGGCCCTCAAGAAACGTAGGATTCCCATCTAGTTTACATATTTTCACTGGAACCTTGTTAGGCATTTATAAAATAAAATGCATCAATTCCTTTCATATCATTCCCTTCACATTTCTTTCCTTCGTTTGTTCCATTAGTCACATTTGTTCCCTTCGCTTAACCCTATAAATTCCTTCCTACGCTTCTATCCTGCATTTGTTTCCTCTCCTTATCCTATTTCCCTTTGCCTCTTCCCCACGTTGCCTTGGCTAATTCCCGTTTGTCCTTAATTCTTTCACCCCTTACCTCCCCATAATTCGTATATCACTTTGCTGCCCCCTTAGCCACTTTTAAGAAGCAAAAGTATATGTAACTAAAGATAATTTGGCTATGGTAGTTTTTACTATCACAGGTAATACAACATTACTTTAATGGAATTTAACGCCAGCTCCACAAAAAATATATGGCGCTATCATTTGTGGTTTTTTAAAACACGCTCTGTTGAAGCTAGCAAAACTGTACACGCTCGAGTGGACTATGCCAAAACAAAAACATAACTAAATTCCGTGACTTCATGTTAGTCGTTAAACCCAGAGATCCCTTTCACGGAGAACAAATAGGATCAAAATGGGATATCCTGAAATGTTAATCTAACTTCGCTTGATATCGAATTAATTGATGAAAAGAAACCCCTATTCTTCCATCAACTCGAATAACAAATATTCGACTAACTATTTGACTGACTAAATATTTGGTTTCAGATTGGCTAACAAGGAGAGAGGATTACAGTCACTGGCTTGAGATTTCCTGCTACAAATCACACAATATCATTCAAAGTTTCGAAATGGTACCACCGCTCTATGCGAAATCAAAACCTTCCTGGAGTCACTATCATAAAAGACACCACAGACACACAGTTAACAGGTGAACTTAGCGACGCAACGTCTGCTGGCTGTACAACACCATTAAGTTTATACTCTTAAAAATCTCTGAAGAGTATCAGACGAAAAGATTTAGTTTACTCAAAGGTTGGCTTCTTTCAAAGCCATTTTCAAGTTTTGTACCACCAAAAAGATTGTTTGCATTAGGTTTATATTGGGTTCTACAAGCACGTGTACTGATGAAGTGATAGCAGTGGTAAGAGGCCAGTGCAAATGAGGCTGTTGCAAAATGATTTTGTAGCAACAGCAGCGTATATAATTACAACAAAACCCAGGGCAATACCAAATCCAGCAAAACTTAATCTAGCAACAGGCCTCCATAATTTGTGAAGGAACAGGGCCACGCTGCTTCACGGCACAACCTCTGTATATTCTCACAAAATATTTATTTGATTATATCTTTCTCTTTATGGGTCATTTTAAGTTAAGAAAATTTTCTTAGTTTAGTCAAAACATGTAAGAGGGATGAGGAATAATTACAAGCGAAAAAGACAGTGGTATTACAAATCAACAGGGACAGACTTTTTCACTTTGTCCTTTCAATAATTTAAAAAAATGACTCACTTCTCATCTAGCATGAAAATAATAATAATAATAATAATAACTTCCTGACATTTGATAAGTTGATTATTATCTATTACATGTGATTATTCATATCACTCACTTTGTTTGCCTTTCCATTGCTCCAACACGCAGGTTTTCCCATCTATCACTTAGCAACGTCATCTGTTCTCGAATTTCCCGTTCATCGTTGCCAGATACAATCCCTTCATTTATCAGCTGACTCCCGAACTCAAGAACACCACCAACACTCGACTGATGTGACGTCAAGACCATCATAAATTCCTTTTAGAAAATGAGGATTAATTTTAAAACACGCTAATACCTTTAAGAGTTATAATTTATTGAAGGAGGGAATTTCTTTAAAGCGCCACCTTTAGCTATGGTGGTCATCCTTAGGCAACATGGCAGTTGAAGACAATTGCAACCTTTCACTGCAAATATCCAGGACCCTAGGCCAGTTCTCTTGGCAGTAACATGTCAGATTCGCCCAGCTAATTACAGCGACTTAGAAATGGCATCCCTTATATACATATTCAGTGTCCTACATTACTAAATCTAAATCATATCAATCTATAATATAGTATATTTGCTCATATCTAAGATTGAATAATTTGAGCCAATACGTAAATAGGTCATGTCTGATTCGAACTGCATTTTGTTACAAATGAAATATCAATGGGGCACGGGCGAACAGGAACGGCGGACTGGTGTCTTCGATCTGCACAAACTCAATTGCAGATTTTGTAGACAAATTACTTTAAAACTACCTGGATCTTTATAATTTCTTAATGAGCATACTTTCAGCCAGAAAATGAAAGTCCTTAAACCCTTCACAATAAACAGCAATAAACTTTGGTGAGTACAGACCTCATGTTCCCTAAACTGCTCCTTAACGACGTCTACTTTGTCGGAAACAGGAGCCTGCTGCTTCAGCTGGGTTTCTGCTTGCAGAAGCCAGGTCAGCACCTGAGTCAACGTCTCATTGTAGTCCTCCCATTCAGATAAAGTGGAGACTGAACTTGGGGTTGGGCTGTCCCGGGCCTAGCAAAAATAGAGTATGATGTGGATAGTTACAGTGCTCAAAAACTAAAAATCATGTATAACAATCTACAGCGGCGGAAATTCAGGCTTTCATTTGGGGAGGGGCTTGAATGGGCAAGACATGATAAAATTTTGATTGGTCTTTCGGCACGTTAAACGTTTGCCAACAAAACATCGAATTTTCCGACGAGAACGCTGATCTGAGGGGGGAGGGGGCTGGGCTTACCCATGACCCCAATAATTTCCGCCACTGACTTTCTATAGTGCCGTATGAAATATGTTTAATACAGCTAGGGCATGTTTGAAACTATTCCACTGTAAATAAGCTGTTAATATTTATAATATAAAAGTACAACATTACAAGACAAACAGGGAAGACAATGTTAACCAGGAGGGGTCAACTGACCAATTACTGTGGAAAAAAACTTCAAATAAACTTGTTTTTACTGCCGCTCGATGAAAAAGTACATTTTTCTAAACTTTCGAGAACATCTGCACCCTCTCGTTCCATTCTTGTCAACAAATATCTGCAACCCTATGGTTTCTAGTGGCCGTCAATAAAGTTTTTTCTATTTTCTTTCAGTTGACTTGGCCCCTATATACCAGATTTTGAACAACAGGGTGTCCATAAATTCATGTATGTTTTGCTGTCTCAAAACAGATCACTGGCTACAGGGCGCTCTTTAAACAACCAAAGTAAATAATTGGCATAAGCAAATACAATTATTGGAAACACCTGCAGTGTCTTGCAGAACAAGACCCAAAACTCAACGAATCAGAAGCAGGTAAAAAATCAGATTTATTGCAGATAAAAGATATTCCTGCAAATTAGGGCTTGTCAACCCTAGTCGACTCCCCTTTCTTGCACCTCTTTTAACATTTACCCTTCTGCAACTGAAAAGGAACGAAAAAGGGCTCTATCAAACTCTCCTTTTAAGAATATAAAATGAACCCCATACATATCATTTTTAAATCTGCAATCCGCAATCGGAGCACTCTGCAATCAGAGTCAAGGTGGAAAATGGAGCCCTGTTCAAAACTTGAGCTAAAGTTTTGGCATGAACATATGAATTTCAATTTTAAAAACAGTTGTTCAGAGGAACTAACTCTAGCAGAGCACCCGACGAAGGGAGGCTTGGGGCATGCACCCCATTTTTTGCAAAACAATAGTTATTTCAAATTCTTTTGATGAGTAATAAATTTTCCCTTCGCCTTCCTACTTTCCAACCTGTGTCGGAGCTCATGTTTATTGTCAATGAAAGCTGATCCTTCTTTAACTGAAAGAAAATGAGATAATTTTCAATATGGGAACCCTATATCATCCACACGTGGTGAGATATTTCCGCCCCAATCTGAACAAACTTCCTGCGAGATTTTAGAAATGACCTAACCTGTTACCTGGGGCACAGGGACCAAGAGGGCAGGTGCCAATTCCTTTACCAAAACAGTATCATTTCGACTTTACTTGTGCTAATTTTCAGGCATAAAATGATTTTTTAAAGGGAACTGCTATCAAAGCCAAAAATGTAGGCCCACTGCGTGCGGTGTCTAACTGGCATTTTTTTGCCCCAATGGCGAGCATGGATTGAAGTATGCAGCACTTGAAATCAACTCAATCGGTGTTTTATTCCTTCATTATTTTCACCAAATTTCATCTTGAAACACTTTTAAAAAGAAACTTATCTTTTGCTTTCTAGAATACGAAATCAAGGGCATGCAAAAAATTCGCAGTAGAATTCAACGACGAAAAGCACAAAAGAATTTCGTTTTTTATCAACAGTGTTCCTAGGGAAAACAAATGAGTAGATTTTGCGATAGATAGAGCGACAGACAGTATATTTAAAATCAGTTTCATAATTAACTGAAAAACGAAGTACAAAAGGTTAATCAAAATAGGAGGATCAAATATTCTTATCTTTGAGATAATTTATATCTTATTTAGTAATCTGCCAGCTCAATACTCTTTTCCAGACATGACAAATTCCACAATTCTACTTTTCTTCTTGGAATGAGATCAAATATAGCTGGATGGTATTCTTTTTATCTTTACAATGGATTTTCTGTGGCATGTCTAACCAAAATTGAGATCATAAAAGGGGGGCGTATTTTATTGTCATTTGAATATCTTTCCAAATGCCTTGTTGCATCTTTGCTGAAATACCCCCTCCCTAATTAGCATTCCAAACGATCCCCTAAAGATCTTATCCATGATTTCCGTACATTTGAGATCGTTCCCTTTGGGAAACTCTAGGCGATGCAGCAGAATATAAAATTTCCGTTGGGAAATCGCATGTGTTTTGTATTACCAAACGTAAAGAACGATGACAGGCGCGGCAATCAAAGGGAAGGATTAAGTCTCCTCAAATATCAACGCATACCTTGATTGAGTACTTCGGAATCACGAAATAGACGTCACTGACTACTTCCTCTCTAGATACCCTCCTAGTTCGACAAAACACTTTCCTTTCCCCGCTTTCCATTTCCCTAGAGCAAATTGATTCGCTTCTGACAATGTCCCCGTGCTATTCTGCAATCATACATGTGATCCCTTGCGATAGGAAAGGCCAGTGTAACCAATGCAACAAAATTTCGTCGTCCAAAACCTGCTATGATTAAGTCCTAAACATAAATTCCAATTAATGTAGGCCGCCATTGGCACCGAAAGTACACTGTGTAGCCTACTAGGAGAGGCGATCACGATTTCATTAGGAAAGCAAAAAGGACCCCTAGAAGAAACATCAACAAACAATATTTATACAAGAAAAACATTCAGTCTATACGAAGAATCCTACCTTCCAAAACCTAGGCATATTGACTTTGCATTGGCTGTCGATTCTGACTTGGAAGCTGAGCTAATTTCCTACACCTCGATGTGGATTGTTTTGATGCAAGTGGAAGTATTGCCTTACTTGGCGAACGTGGCTCGTTGGCCTCTGTTGATGGGTAGGCTTCCACCGCGAGACACACTGTGCCATATCCATCACATTAGTGGGTGTGAAATTCCGAAAACATAGGGTGCCCAATCGTAGAATACAATGTGACGATATCGAGCGGTTCAGGCACCAGAGTTGAAAAGGACCGGTTGAACACAGCGGAACAAACCCGGATCGCGCGGTACAAACGAAACAGATTCCTAAGAATTATGCTTTAATTGAAGTTATCTCATTTTCCATTGTGGACAGACCGGTATCAATCATGCAAAACTAGGATTATGCTCTATATATAGAAGATTTCGTTTTTAAATCCAGTATGTTAAAAACGACTGATACTTGGACAGAAAAATTCAACACGCATATTAATTGCTGATTTTATCAAATGAATCCGAATAGACTAAGACATTTAAAATCTTCAGACCTTTTTGTGTACATAGCTAAACCCAATTGTTTGATAAAATGTAAAGCAAGCAGCAAAGCGAAATATTTCGTGTTTTGCCAATTGTTCAAAGGGAGTAAATAAAAGAGGAGAAAGATCCGGAGGATTCTTGATAAAGATTCCGCATGCGCACTTTAAACAGCTATTTTTCATAGCTTACAGGGTGGTCTTGTGTATTAAAAAGTATTTGGCAGCGACTGTACCCTGGGTACCAGAGCCTCATAAATCAAAGTACGGAAATCAAAGTGGAGCAGCTGCAGCAGAGGAGCTGTTAATTTAAGGAATGAGAAATGTCTTTCTTTCTTTCTTTCTTTCTTTTTACTTTGGCAACTGAAGAAGGCCAGCCGTTAGGGCAGAGCAGATAAGAGATACATTAATACACCCTAACTGTTGAATAGGCCCCCAACCTTACAAGCCAACTCCCATCACACATAATTCGAGTCAATTGCTACGACAAGGACTCGACCCATCCCCTCAGTTCTCGGGTGGGCCAAATTTGTGCTGCGTTTAAAATCGACGAGAAGATGTTGTGGGGGTAGTAATATTTTGGAAAAGTTTCTTTTTGATCTGATTCTATGATTTCAAAACAGCCTTTATGTTACCACAATTTTAAGTCACATAGACTTTACCATTCCTTTTGGGAAAAATTGCCGTCCCAAATTGGTTGGGCGTGACATCATTCGGACTATGTTGAGAAACCATGTCTTTTCTCCTTAACTTTAAACTTTTCTACTATAAAACAATAAAAGCAACAGAGGACAAAATCTGCTCCTGATGCTCCTACCACAGAAGTTTCTTGCATTAACTTATGGTCAGTGGCGGACAACTGGGGGGCGAGGGGGCGGTCTTTTGTTTTTACTTTGGACTTTTATTCCCTCCTAATACTTTGGAGGACAATGGTATTTTGTTCTAGAACAAAGGGGGAATGTGACATCATCTTATTAAAAAATAGTCTTCCCCCCCCGCCCAAGTTTCCGCCCCTGCTTTTGGTAAATACTGGGTCGAAATTGATTTTTAATAGATTTAGAAAGATTTTTAAGACTTCAAATAGATTTTTAGAACTTCAAATAGATTTTTAAACGGTTTTATAACTCCTTATAAATCCTTATAAATCACAAACCCCTCTAAATTACACCAGCATTGACATGAGTACCCGAAAGATACTTTACTGTATAAAAATAGCTTTAAAAATTAAACTGCTTAGAACAATTACCTGTAACTCATTCTCTGAGCTTTCGCTGACTTCTTCAAGAACGATTTGTTTCTGGTCACCTGACATTACTTCAAACAGTATAGTCAGGTACATCAAAATGGACTTCTTGTCCGGGTGATTTTTCACGTCTAAAATAACAAAAAAATTATTCCAGTTACGTATTAAAATATTGTGAAACTGGAAGCATAGTTTAAAACAGTAAGTGGGGTTTTTCAGATTTCAAAGAAAATTATTAAATTCAACGATAAAATATTTAGAGATTTGAAGCCTAGTATAAAACGGGAATTTGAGATCTTTAAAATGTCAGAGGAAATTGTTACATTGAGCAATAATTTTAACATAAGAAAATAAATTTACATGAACTATGAAGAAACATGCGTCTATACTGGGATATTCATATTGAAATTTTCAGCAATTGTGATAAAAATTTAAAAAAGGTAACAAATCAAACTCCTTTTTAATATAAGACTTTCAGTAACTATATTCTAAGTAACCAAAGTATTATATTGCCATGTCCACCTCCTTCCCGCCCCGCCCCCCAGCCCCGCCCCCTCTCCTGATAGGAGGGGTGTATCAGTTGCAAATGGTCTAAAACAAGCATCTCACATCAGTGGGGTAGCTGTTAATATCATATGGTACCATGAAAAAACGTAGGGGCGTTTCTGGGGCAGGAAGCCTAAAAACGCATACTAGTTCAGTGGGGGTACCTGTAATTCCCATATTGTACAGCAGAATGCTCTTTCTAATATTTTCATAAATGAGCACTTTGGTGCGTTAGTGAACACTTATTTGGTCAAGACTGCGGTTGAGTTTGATCCGTCTTGCAAGGTGTGCAAAATCAAATATTGAAAACCAAGATGAAACCAAGAATGTTGAGCAGATGAGTTGCGGTCGATTTGGTTTGTTTGATTTCGCCGTGAGGTTGTACGTGATTAGCGAAGAGAAATAGGCCAGAAGGCCACGAGAATGCAAGACGAAAATAGGAAATGTGTTTGAAGCAAGGCTCCTTAGAGTTCACAGCAGCGGACCACGTTATTATACCTTCGTATACTGAAAACATGGCTGGCTAACAAGCATAAAGTCAGATTCAAAAAAAATATGTAGCAAGAACATTTTTGCACAAAAAACAGCTAGTTAAACTTTCCTTTATATGAGTTTCCCACTTATTGACGAAAATTTAATTACAAGGTTACTGTTTACATAAAACTCGCTACAAGAAAAATCTAGGCCACCAAATCACATCGTCAAAAAATACAAAATAATAGTCAATGATAAATCAAATTATTCCACTACCACGAACTGGTGCTGAATGGGGGTGTTTTAAACTTTGATTAAACGCGACGTAATCGGTAAAAACCCGCTCCTTCTCCCGTGCTGAAACATTTTGAAGCAATTGAAAAACATCAAATCATAACTGCTTTCAAACAAAAACAAATGTTTATGTAAACTAACATTTGGCAATGAATAGGAGCAGACTTTGCTCAGGAGAATTATTGAAACATTCCTTATTCTTAATTCACTGAAAAATAATTTCTTGCACTGCATAAATCTCTTTAAACTATTCGTTACCGAGTTTGATAAAAAAACATAAAATCATTAATTTTATACGGTTAATTTAGCAAAGAAATGAGCCAACGTTTATCTCAAAGAAACGACGAGCCGGCCTACAAAAACATTACGTTATATTCTCAAGAAGCAGCAATGAAATTTAGTCAGGCACACAAATTATGTCTTTGAAAAGGCACAACTGACTGCCTGATACCACAGCTTAAAAAAACGGCATTAGAACATGTTTTAACAGACGGTAGCTGTGAAAAAAGCACTTGGTTTCTAAACATTGAAGTGGCTACTCACGCAAACATGAACGGCTGCGTACTCCAGAGTCGGTCTGAGATGTTTCTATACCCACACTGAAGGCATAGAATCAACAGGGGAAAGGTTCTGCGAAACAACTTGTTTATTTTCGCTGCCTTCTTATCGACAGCAAAGGCAGTTTATTGTGGAAGTCTGCAGCATCACTGGTTGCAAAATCCTTGAAAATCGTTAAAGGGCTTAGCGCGATCATGCACAACGCATCGTCTGAGATGATTAACAAGCCGGATAAAACAAAATCATATCAAACCAAGGTTATTTAATGAATAAATTGAAGTGCAATGCTTCCTTCGGTAAACAATCTATTTTGCACACAAATGGGGGATTACACCCATTAGTGGGCACTGTATACTCAGCCTAATCACCACCGATAAAATTTATTGATGTTCAGATTCAATGCAAACATACATCAATTGACAATGTTTGCTTTTAGTCCCCGAAGTGAATGTCCCTGCAGACAATTAAATTGGGCCTCGCCTCGCCCAACAGGCTACGAAGTGATGTCAGGATTTTACTATTTAATTTCATTTGCATTGCTTCGCAAAATTATCTATATCAAATATAAAATCGCCCATATGTTTCGATAACTTGGCAGGCAATATCACACGATGTTTGCAAAACAAACTGAACATGCACCCTCTTTCTATACCTTTCCCGACCTTCAGTAATAATTCACTTGTATATCCTCTAAACCACTTTTTACATAAACAATCTTTCTTGTCTCCTACCGTGAGAAAACTAGTGTAACAAAGTGCTATGGCAAGGGATTTTAACTGACAAACCATGGTATTAATTTTGAAAGTGAAAATAGGATTTTATTTATGTGCATCAAATACCAACACATGTGCCCCCTTTGCCTATCATATCAGAAGTTATGACGAGTGGCCGCTATCCCACTGGCCTTAGAAGCCTGTGTTCGATTAATTTGATGACAAAACTAGTCTTACTCTTATCGATACCCTTTTAATGTCTATTAGTTATCGTCATTTCTTAGATGTTTCTCACATTTGCACTGTACGCTTTTAAAAATCGAGGGGCAAATCACTCTAAAAAAATTTCGTACACCTTTTGCGAAAATCCTATTGTTTTATCTGAAAATCCCCAGAAATCCTTTTGTTTTAGGCAAAATCTCGTACGCTGTGAATCGCCCCTCGTTAAAAATAACGCAAAGAAGGAAAGAATGTAGTAAAACAAATATACGCTGTCAAACATAAAAAGACTTGAGTATCCATTGACGTCTAGTAAAACACCATCGATAAGCCAAAACATGCCTTCCAGAAAAATGTATTCAAGAATACTCCTTAATTTTCTTTTGGCTGACATTTATTGACTTTGAGATCCGCGTTGTTGACGATGCCTGCCAGCAATTTCATTGCAAATGTTGGAAAGACCTGCTAGTAGACTTTGAGATATCGAAGATTTCCAGCAGCCATCGGTAAGGAAAAGCAAAAGGCTTTCATCAAAAAGCCTTTTCTATTAACAGCAAATGGCTTGCTCAACAAAAAAACGATGACAAAAAGGGCCTGACTGGATTGGGAACCCTGGCAACATCCCTCTTCAAGTAATTTTCCAGAAGACAAGAAAAACGTTTTGCCTGAAACCATAACCTTAACCAGAAATCTCTTCTTTGGCTCGAATTATTTACATAAACAATATATATATAGTCTAGAACATGTTTGTAAAAGCAGCTTCGCAACAAGGCACCAAAGCATTATTGGGGGTCCATTGTTTGTTGTTTGTTGTTGTAGACGATTTTGTTGCTGTTAATTAGAATATAATTTACCCTCCCCCCTTATCTCTGGTCATCTTTGGTGAGCCATGCCAATAACATATACCTTATACCAATATATGTTGTTTGCTGTTCTCTATAAAACAACAATAGTTCAAAATCAGGATGTTAAGGCTTATAACATCACGTTAACCGTTTATTTGTCCATAGAAACTCCCTTTCTCGTTTCAAATAGGCCTAGAAAATAACGTAGAGGTCACCTGTTCTCGCAGAAAAAGAATAACTGCGCTTCGCTCCTCCGTTAGGGGCAAAAAGGATTTTTCAAGTACCATTTTCACGTTACAACATCATTACTTTAAATAAAAACAAGATCTCATAGAAGCAATCAACACCGAAGAGACTTACTTTTTAACAGCCCCCCTTCACCCATAAGAGTTTACTGTGCAAAATAAACACTACTCACCTTCTGGGTCGAGAAGGGGCTCTATCCCAAAATGTTCTCTAGCCACACGGAATGCATGTTCGAGATTTTCATATGGTGGTCTTCCAAGACACAATTTGTAATCAAATACATCAGGGCTAAAATACAATGATTATTTCTTCTTAGCTTCTCAGTAAAATAGCAACAGTAGATATAACCAATTGCGGCACAACAGGGCAGGACCGATTTTGTATTTCATCCAAAGTTCGACGAGAAAATGATGGGGAGGGGTATTATATTGGCAAGTGTTATTTGTGGTATGATTTTAAGATTTTGCCAGTGCTTTACGTAACCAAAAGTTTGTTATGACCGATTCTCATTGGAAAAATTGGCGTTCTCTGTTGATACAAGGGCGTTTTTGGCAGTGAAAAGGGTGTGGATAACAATTTTACATAATGTCCACCCACATTCTAGTCTGTCTTGTGCCGCCATTGGGTATAACAATTTTCTAGATGCAAATACAGCTGTTCACCTCTGTAGTCATCAAATCCTCTTCGCCACTACCTCTCTTTATTTTCTAGTTTCTAGTTTCTTTCAATTGAATTACAAATCAATCATCTCCAATTTGAATAATGACAACGATTTACATGGCAAGTGTGTCAAACAGCCCCTGGGCAACATGAATCAAAAGAGGATGCTCAACAAATCAAATCGGTATTAGACATAAACCTCCACCAGTAATTAAACAACCATCAAGTACTTCATGTTTGCTCGGTTAGCTTAGTCTGCATCTTATCTTGCGGTAAAGATAAGCTTGTCTTGCTATTGATCCATCTGATGTATTGAGTAAATTCGATTCAGAAACAAAGCTACAGGGAATTTTAAGTTGGCGAGAGCTAATTGTCGCCTAGTGAGACACACTAAGAGCAACATAAGAACATAATCAGCATAAGATTGAAAATTAGAAGAAAAACGATGTTTTTTTAATTTTTCTATCAGGTTAACACAATAGAGGAGACTTAGCAGCGAACCAACCGTGCTGCTAGAAATTTCATGAAAAAATGTTTATTAGTGGCCTTACAAACATTTTATAACACAGAAAAATTAGTGTTGAAATAAGAATGGCATAAAGACCACCTAAGCCTCGAATTATCCAAAATAAAGAACATTAAGCTTGCAAAAGGTATTGGGTTCTTATAAAATAAGATTGTATTCCAAAACATTGACAAAACTCACCGTTGATGATGCAGCAATGCGTTGAAGGCTAAACCGTCTTGCCACGATGTCGTGAAGTTTTTGATGTGCACGCCCTTGTACCTGAAAAAATAATCGTTAATTGTATTGGATCAAACTGACTAATACTGCTAGCTCCATTGAGATGGTTCCATTCTTGTCTGAAAAAAATCAACAATCATACAGACAGACACAGCTATGAATTTTATGAGAATGTTAACTTTACTAATGGATAGAGAGAAAGAAACCAATGACTCCTCAAACAGAGTCGGCAGTAGACCGGCTTCGCCCTATGTCAGGAATGATCATTACACCTAGACTTAATGCGGACCTAGACTAGCCTAGGGCAAATAATTAGGCCATAACTAGCAATGCAAGAGAGAGTACTGTGAAGAGGAAGAAAGCTGATATGGGCTTCCTCGGAAAATACAAAAAAATTTAGTATACTGAAAAAGCTCTGAAAAGATTTCTTGAAGTGAATACGTTTTTTATTAGGATGTGTTGACCTGATTTATTGCTTGTTCTCTACCAGTGAAATCCTCACATTCTCTGACACCGGTGTTCTGGATATTTCGAAAGGGGCAAATCACTCCAAGAAAATCCCGTACTTTTTTGTGGAAATTTTATTGTTTTATCTGAAAATCCCCAGAAATCTTTTGTTTAAGGGAAAATTTCGCACGCTATTTGCAAAAGTGAATTGTCCTTCGGATTTTTTCTTGCTCCTAGTGTTTTTTGTCAAGTAAACTGCTTTAAAGGTACGACCAACGAACGGGGGGGCGGGGAAACATGGCCCCAAGCATCTGTCTAATGACAATTTGAGGCCTTGTTTCAGTTTAACAGATCAATAGTGACCACTGTCTATAATTGTCTGCTTTTTTGGTCTCCTGTAACAAAAGAGGTGGTCCTAAGGATAGATGATACGACATCATAAATTGAAGAAAGTGTAATTTTGAGTTGAGTTTAATTTTTTCAATTTTAATTTCAATTTTAAAGTTTAATTTAAAAAGCAGTTCAGGGACGAGTTTGAAAGCATTGTGATGGAGAAACTTTTGTCGAGAAGAGTGGGGGGAAACTGGTTATCGGGTTGCGAGAAAAGAGTTGTAGATAATAAATCTAAGAAGATGATGAGTGATAGTAAAAACAAACTCTAACACACTTTCAGCCACTTTCCCAAACCTAATGACCTTCAATATTAAGCAGCGTAAAATAAAACAAATCTTGTATTTGGTCGAAATCTCTTGGATTGAATTTTGTCTATGCAATAAGATTAAACTGAAGTTAGCAAGGATTACAGAATTAACTCGATTATGCGAATTCTATTAAACCCGATTGACATATCAACATATGATTTGAATTTCAGCTGGAATAGAACAGTGGGTTTTGGAAACATTTCACAGCCAGGGAAAATTATCTTATTCTTCACTTTTGAATACCCAGAAATTTGTCACACAGTGCTAAATACATTTTGGGATAAATGTTTACAGATATTTCAGACAACCTTTGGCAAGCCTTAGAGCGCATGCTTAAGCTTTTAACAAGACTAACCTATAAATTTTAAATGAAACAGAGGTCGTGTGTAATTATGGAAGTTCCATCGCAGCTAATGTGGTCAGCGAACGCTTTGCATAAAAAAAGCAAATTAAGTGGATCTAATATTAAACTAGAACTAAATGTGTTATAATATTCAGTTGAAATAAATAATTTAGCAGAGAACATGCTGTGAATAAGAAGATAGCAGAAAAATTGTATTTTCATCTCAATTGAATGAGATAAATTTCTAGACAATAATCGATAAGATGGAGCATGACAAACAATAAATATTGACCAAAGTATTGCAAAGTATTGCTAACAAGATGCTGTGTTAGGCTTGCCAAAAAACATCACCATAAAAGAGATTTTCTTGAGGCTGGTTTCCACAGCTAATTTGATCGCATAATTCAAGTGATTGCAATTGATTTCAATCAACTCTTGTGATTTTTTCGCATAATGGACAAAGCAACAATCATTGCATGGGAACTTTTTTTCGAATACTGGGGGCATTGTAACAAATTTGGTTTTTCACTTGTCAAGACGTTGAAAAACACAAAAGACATAGAAGGCTTTTGAAGAGGTGACTTTTGGCAAAATAACAAGGGTGTTATAAAGAAGAATAATTAGCCTTCAAGGGAAATTAAACTTTTTGGCAAAGAATATTTTGTTCATAAAGAGTACTTTCGAACGGGCCCTGACAGACATAATGAGCTTACGTTGCCTCAAAATGAAGTAAAGGGCGAGCTTTTATGGGAAAAAGAGAGGGAATAGAAACACTTTGTTTTCATGCCTCGTGTCCTGACCAGACTCGCCAAAGTGGAAACCCATTTTAAAGTAAGAAAATTGCGTCACTATGAAATTTTGTTACTACAAGCTTGAAAGGCTCTGGCGCAACCGGCATGCTTAGCGGTAGCTGTCTAGAGAAATTGACTGTGTTTTGTATTTTCATGCAGTTCGATATCAGGCCGTTTTGGAAATAAAATCGCAAAGCATTCAGGTTGCACAAAAGCCTTTAACTTCGCAAAGTTTGTAACTTCGCTTATTTTCAAGGCATCTAAGAGAATGGTTGAAACTCTGAAAAAAGATTAAATTCAAATCTGCAGAGCTTGGCATCATACTTCATGATTCGCGACACATTTCACTTTTCTGTTAAGTTTCAGGTTTCAGAACACATCAGATATTTTTCAGCATATTCTCCTTGGGCCCTAAATATTTTGGAGCTTGCTACATAGCTAAACAAAAGGGCCAATAATTGACGTAAGATTTCATCCAAATGTGGTGGCCGATTCCTTTCGACTTCAAACCAAAATTTACATTTTACCATTCCTTGATAATAACACGGGTATTATGCTATGATAAGAGAAAAATCGGAGCTTTGAAATTAAATCTGACAAGGCCAATAGCATGAAGCAAAATTGTGTCAATTTGGAGTAAACAGGGGGGTACAACCGCCAGGCCACCTTTGCGCCGCATCCATGGCATAGAAACATCAGAGCCATCCAGCATCAAGCTCTATTCAAGTGGCAATAGAAAAAACACCTGCTGGAATTTCATTGAAGTAGAACTAGATGCTACAAGTCACCAGTTTCCCCGAACGTTGCTACTGATAAATTGTAATGGTGCATAAGGGCAGCACTTTGGGTGCAAAGAAGATAGAACAAAACATATAAACAAGGGGAACAGTGAGGTAGAAAAATAGATCTCCGGTATGTGTGATACCCGAAACAGATCCCATGTATTAACGAGCTGGCATGTATGCTCTTGGTATATCTAGAAAAAATCTTTTTGGGGCTTAAAAATCCATTAAGCTTAAAAACCACTATGCACAATGCTGCAGTGTTGTAACACTTGCAGTTCCTTGCACAGCACGTTTGGTAGACCTATGCAACAATTTAGCGAAAAATTGATTAAAACAGCTCTCCTAAATTATCCGTAGTCAACAATCATTATCGTAACATTAAAGATAAGCTGCTTCAGCAATAGAACGGTTTCTAAGAGATTTGAACTTTCTTTTGTATTGAAAACAGAGTGGTCGTTCTATAGAGATGGTCGTGCTATAGAGATGGCCGTTCTGTAGAGATGGCCGTTCTTTAGAAATGGTCGTTTGTTTGCATAGACTTGAGACTTGAAGGGGGTTCCATAGGTTTGCGCTCGTTGGAAGTTACCAACTTATGTAAACATATTGCTTAACATAAAGACTGGTAAATGTA